CAAAACCGACACAACGGCGCTGATCCGTAACTGGCAACAGTTGTTCAGAGTGGACTTGTTTGTTTTGAAACATGGACTGCAGTACCCAAATGTGACCACAGGATGTCATTCTTACTCCATCCACCTGTGAGTGTAGATACAACCGTTAAAAAAATATCCAGTCTTCCTTAAGACCCATGACCAACAATTACAATCTGTTAAATCCATTTATTTTACTTTATGAAGCCATCAAACAAAGATACACTTTCATCAGTAACAAACACAAGAAAACACTGATTTACCATCACAGTGAATTTACTGAACTTTCCAATATTTTATTGTTAAACGTATTTTTATCTTTCTTTCATAAAGTGGTCTAACAGTTAAATAATTAAGACATTTATACAGCTTTTTTGTCTAATTATAAATACATTCTTCCCATCTATTAAATAACTTGTAAATCCAGTGAATATCAAGTCTGAATAAAAGTAGGATGCATTATTAAATTAAGAAAAATGTCCTAATCTAAAGGATGAAAAATAAAATAAAGAGTAACAGGCTACCACCCCTCTAAAAATAAAATAGATATAAATAAAATCTTTACTCTAAAAAAACTCTGGAAAATTAATTTTCCAATCAACAGCTTGCATTTTATTGTCTGCAGGCTTTGTATAAAATTACATTTACAATGAAAAGCAACCAGCATTGCACCCACAATGAGAATAATCAATAAACATGTGGATTTTATAATTTGTTTTCTGCGTTTACTTTACATGTAAAACTTGTAACCATTTAACAGAATATTGTATAAAAAAAGCAGCTTTAGCCATCATTGTTTCTGTCTGGGTTCCATGGTTGGTATTTACTGCTAACACTTTAATAAAGAACAACAAAAGACACGTAGCTCATGTAAAAACTGCAAGAGGTAATGACAATTACCCCATCACCAAATCAATATATTTTTATCAAAGGAAGTTCATCAAACCTGTTCATACTGTTAAAAGCAGCGGTAGGTACGGTAATCCTAGTCCTCAACTGCTGCTATCCAGCATGTTATAGCTGTTTCCTTGTTTCACACCTGATTTTCATCATTGGGTGATTAACAGGATTCTGCAGCGCTTGAAAACCTGGTGAACAAGTGGTTCAACCATTGATTCAGTGAAAAAACTAAAACAAGCTGGAGAGTGCGCTCCAGCACCAGAACTACCTGCTGCTGGGTTTCTTTAGCCAGATTAAACGAAAACAGGTGAGGAAGATGTGAAAAAGGCATGCAGATGAAGACGATCCTCTTATCTCAAGATGAGGAGTTAGTTATCTCATTTCCATAAGATGATGTGATGACTTCTTATGTCATCTCACTGTAACAATAATCATTTTCTTGAAAGATGCATTTTCTTACCTTTAGATAACAAATTACTGATGATTAAGTTAAAGTAAAAGTCGCATTAGTTATCACACACCAGTGAAATTCATCTCCGCATTTGGCCCATCCCCATGGGGAGCAGTGAGCTGCAGCTGTGGCTGCGCTCGGGAACTATTTGGCCCCCAATCCAACCCTGGTGTCAAGCAAGGAGGCACTGGGTCCCATTGGATCTTTAGCATAACCCAACCGGGATTTGAACCCCAATCTCCCAGTCCCAGGGCGGACACTGACAAGGTTAGGTTAGAAGGCTAACCTCATTATCTAGAAGTAGATTGGGGCTTATTTATGTTGTCAGGATGAGTTGTGTCATGATCATTTTTCAAATCTCAGGAGAGTCTTGTCTCAGGACCTTTAGATCTTTATCTCTCAATCATGAGAAGTTTTTTTTTTATATATTTAAGCTCAGCTTTTTCTGATTATCCCAAGATAATGAGTTATTGGACATAACTTAGAAAGTTATAATGGTACTATCTAAGGATACAGTTACTTTACCTCAAGATAAGGAGTCGTTTCAAGTTAATCTTATCTTAAATCATTACTCAAATTTTTATGGAGAAATTTAAACATGGAGACATTTTATATTGAAACGAAAACTAATTTTTGAAAACTATAAATTATTTAAGTACCCTACATTATTTTATCTCCACGTATCAATATTTTTATCATATTATCTTAGGATAAGATGATTATCTCATGAATGAGTTATACTGAGATAATGACATTTTTTAGACATTATTTCTCTCATTATCTTGGCATGATGAGATGATGCATGGAGATATGTTAGTGTTATCTCAAGATATTAGCTCCTGTTTCCTTTCATGCTCTTATGATAATGAGTAAAAAATAAACATTCTTCCCGAGTAAAGATAATATGTTTACTGAAAGGGAGATTAGATGGTTTTTGCTTGTTTTTAGCACCCCCTATTGTCCATTTAGCAGAACCAAAAGCAAAATTTATCTCATCGCTGTGCATTTGTCTTTTTAACACCTAAATCTGAAAGCTGAAGTGTCTCCCCAGCCTTCATTAGTGTCTACAGGAGTGATTCATCACTAAATCAAACAAAACAGCTGTGTTCATGATCTAAAACCTACTGGGAGCAGACTGCAGCACCGGGCATGCTAGCAGACCGGACCAGCAACTTTGAAGTTGCAAGTGCAGTTTTCTGGCCACAGAGGGTGGTTGGGGTCTGAGTGACGTTTCATTAACCCTGTAATGGTCTTTTTAGCACATATTGGTTCAAGAAAATGGTTTAAAAATATGTAAAAGTTTCATGGTGTTCCCAAAACTATAGAAACATGATTGACAAATACAAAATAAATAAACAGAAAACATATTTAACACCACCAACTGGTTTTAACTAAAATCATCACAATGATGGAAGCAAGAAACTCACTTTTGCATTATATTCATCTTGTTAATTTAAAAATAAACTTTTTTTGTTTCTAAGGATAAAATAAATTTTGGTTATAAAAAAAAAGACAAAGAATCAGAAACTGGTGTGAATATTAATAAAACAAAACACAGTTTCAGCCTTTAGTGTGTTTCCAGTGAAGCTCTATACAACCATAGAGGCCTCTCTTGATTTGAGCTAATTACATCAAGTTTATGTCCAAAACCAGCATTTAGAATTGGCTACAGTAAAAATCAATGCTTCCAGTGCACAATAAACAAAAAACAAACCCCAAAACTTCAATCCACAACAAAACAGTTCAAATATAAATGGTCCCAATCAATTGTCTTTGCTTTCAACTAAAGGAAGTGTTGATGTTCCTCCATCATCTTGTCATCAGATCTTCTCTAAAAGGATTCCAACCCATTCACATCATCTGCTTCTCGTACACCAAGGCCTCATGCATTTTTAAAGACAATCGGACTCTTTGGCTGAGGCTAATTTAATTAGAGCTGCTGCCCAGATACGACTGGCAGGTAGCAGCAGTGTGTGAGAGTCACCTCTGATTCAATTCATGTGTGTAGCTGAAGTTTCTGAAGCTGCTTTGTTGATTATTTTATTATGAAGTCTGAAACATCACTTGTTTTTAGTTTGTTTTAACCCGTCAGGATTGAATCTTACTGTAAAGGTCAAGGAAAACTTTTTTAAATCTAATGATTTCTACCTTAAAATAGTTTCATGATCAACTTTTTTGCAGACTCTTGCTTTTCACATTCTGTTTCTTCTACAGTCTTACACTGATTGCATTGTTAATAAAGTTCCATAAATATAAAATATCATAAGTAAAGACAGGATGAAAATAAGTGACTGAGGAAATAGCAACAAGCTAAACGAACACTAGAGGGCACTATAACATGTATTTTGGTGCCCTTGGTGTGGAGTAGCTTTAAAACCTCCATGCCTACAAATTAAAATGCTCCTGTTTTTTAAGGAATGTGTCTTTTTCAGACTAAAAAAAGAAAGTGCAACTGCCTTAATGTTCTGAGTACTGTCAGGTTTTCTCGTTTAACATAATTAAGTAGATGGATGTAAGTAAGTCATGCAAATAAAACTCCAAAAAGTAGAAAATTATATAATATTTCAGTAATTAAGCTTAGACTGAGAGACTATCTAAAGGCTCAGGAACGCTTTGTGGGTGTTTTGGATTCATTAGCTGATTAGAGCGTGACACTATTGAACCTTTTCCACAATAATCTAATTGTCTGGGGTTCTAAATGTGGGGTTTTCATCAGCTGTAAGCCACAATCATCAGTCATAACAATAAAGGCCTAAAATATCCGGCTTTGCAACGAGTCTATCCTGTATATTAGTTTCACTTCTTAAGTAGAATTACTGAAATAAACTAACTTTTTCACCATCTTCTAATTATTCGAGCTTAACAATAAAGAACTTGTTCTAAAAATCTTTCTTTAAGGCATCTGAAAATAAATAAAAAAATCTTATATCCTCTCTTTATCTGCTGGTTTTTTTCTTTAGTTTCCTCATTTCCATTTTCTTCTCTTTGAACCAGATTCCACTCTCCCTCTTGTGCTCCGCATTAACCTCTGTCGCTCATTGGGATTCTCAGACGATAGCTCATTCAAGAGGGTGACGGCTACTTTGGACCAGTGTTCCACGTCTCTGTAGATGCGGTACACCCACAGCTTCAGCTTGAACAGAACATTCGGACCATTTAACTGCCAAGGAGAAGATGAGAGAGATTCAGTTGCTTATGCAGCTCCTTAACTTTCCAAACACTGGTGCTGTCACGAACACCTACCTCCAAACCCTCCAAGTCAGGAGCCAAGATGTTTCCATCAGTAGCTTTAAGGAGTTTCTCAGTGTGGTTTAAAAGGTACGACAACCTGTTCTTCATCCTCTCTCTCCTTTCCTCATACTCACCTTTTTCTCCATCACCCAGCTCCTCGTCCTCTCTGGCAATGGCTCTTTCTAGCAAGGCGCGGCACTGCAGCAGAGCAGAGTGGAGGCGCCACAGCTTGGACCCGGTGTCCAGTTGGGACGAGGGAAGAGGCACAGACACTTGAGTGCCATCAGCCACTTCCACTGGGAAGTGTTCTCGTTTCCTCTGGATGATCAAGGAGGTGTAAAGGAGATAAACAAAAGTCAGATCTGGACTGACACCGATGTCATCGTTGACAGCAGCCATAATTTTGGGATAACTGAGTAATTCTGTTCTCATGTGGGAGGAATTTGCTATGGCCAATTTCCAGAACCAACTCTAGCTCCAGCTGGATTTAAAAAGTTAGCAAACGAGATGTTTGACTGAGAGAAAAATGAACAAGAACATAATAAAACAAAGTATGGAAAAGGGGTTTTCACTGCCATGTAAAATCAATGCAGACCTGTGTCTCATGGCTACAAAACACAAAATAAACCTTTTAAAAATATATTTTGACCATCCTCTTTAATAGCTTCTGCTCAGAGAAATGGAGTTTTTGAGTCTGAACACAGCCGAGATCAAAGAGTGCTGCTGTCATTAAAGTGACTGTGTGTAGTTTTTACTGTTGATCTCTGGAAATATCCATTAAAATGTTTTTGGGAATGAATGAAATGATGCCCAGTAGTTTGTAACATATAACCATAAAAATTGGGTCTAAAATACATGGGAGTGGGTCTAAGTCTCTGGGCGACACCATATTAGACCCCATGTTTTCATCTACAGGAGCCGGTGATGACAAAACACATTTGTTGATTTGCAACAAAAGGTTACAAAACTTTCACCATTCATAAACACTGTTGTTTACACATTTACCTGTTCGCTCATTGCCAGCGATGAAAGGGTGTCAGATGTGCTTGTCATTTTGCTGGAGTGTGCACTCCCATGGATTTTTGACCCAAATGGGCCTCCACTGGTAACACCGTACTCCAACACAAAAATACTGCTTGCGTGAAACATTTAGGTATGTGCTGCCCGCTATCGCCAGGACAAATACACACTTTAAAGCAGCTAACCGGGGTTTTCTGTCATTTTTAATAAATGTACAAAAGAGATAGTTTTATCCTAACCCTAACCCTCAGAAGGGCACCTTAACAACTTTATATAAATACGTAAAGTGATTCTGACTAAAAGACTACTCTGCTTTGCTCTGAGAGCAACACGCAGATGCACCATCCTAAATACTTCTGCATCAAGCATAGAGAGACAGACATGTCAGATGTTGGGTTATGAGAAATCTGGACAGACAGTAGCCTAAGCGAAATGATTTTGTTCTGCATGTTGGTCTAGCCGTGCCCATAGGCGCCTCAGCAATTGGCCTGAGCAGTATTGTTATGCCAATCACAGCTCTCGATCTGTTTGGTGGGCCAATCACAGCACTCTATTGGTTTGGCGGGCTGATTACAGCGCACTGTTGGTTTGGTGAGGGGATGACACAGAGTGGAACAGCTAAAATGGCGGCGGCTCGTTAGAAATGGTTTTGGTATTAACTTCAGATTATTCAGAGTTGGGCTTTCCTTTAATTCAAGAGTAAATTGAGGTGCTGTCCTGTTTACGGCATGTTGTTTGTTGTCCAATAGCATGGAGAGACAATAGGCAACAAATGCAACAGACAGGACTCGAGCCCACAATCCTCTAGTTACAGGGCGGGCACTTAACACCTTTGCCACTGTCACCCCATAAATGCATTACAAATACTTTTTGCATGAATTCTACTGAAATGAATTCTAAACTAATTCACTGATATCAGCATGTTCTAATTAACAAAGTTAAAAGTTGTTGGCGTTCCCAACATAAAAGAAATGTTAAATCCAGAATTCCCTCACCATCGCCTTCATTGGCTCACAATGCACAAATTGAGAAGCTATCCTAAAAGAACTTTACACTTTCATTTGAAACGGCTCTGGCATCAACTTTAGACGACTTCAACTCTGGCTTTTCTTTGAGACATGAGCAGATAGACGTACTTCAGCCTGTTATTTCAAAAAAGGATGTATTTGATTCTTTTTCTTCTTCAAACGTGAATGGAGGACCGCCCCGTTGACCTTCCCTAGTGATGAATACATCATGTTGTTCTTTGCTCTTATTGGTCCTAACCTTGTCCAGTTGTGTTTGGAGACAGTTTAAAAGCCAACTGTAGATGCTGCCCCACGACTGAGCTCTGTCTATGGGGCACGGCCAAACTATATACAGTATTTAATTACATAGGATGACTTGCCATCATAAATCCAGTCAAACTGCAGATTTGATCTGTCTGGAGGCTCAGAAACTGCCTGTGCTCTCTTGCTGCCGTCTCTTTGCTTCTGAGCTGTTCCATCTGCTGGACAAACACTTTTCACAGCTTAGCTCAGACACCACAAGGTTTTGGAGGTAAATCAAATGGCTGATTGTCCTCAGTCCTGCCATGGCCCAGGGCGGGATAATATTAGATCAGATGAAATTAGATGATTGGACCATTTGAGCAAATTGAACGTTAAATCAAAAAAACATCATCAGATCAGTGGCCAGACAATTTGTGTGTGTGTGTGTGTGTGTGTGTGTGTGTGTGTGTGTGTGTGTGTGTGTGTGTGTGTGTGTGTGTGTGTGTGTGTGTGTGTGTGTGTGTGTGTGTGTGTGTGTGTGTGTGTGTAAAGGGGGGTTTGTCATTCAAGGACAATAAAGAGGAAAACACATTTTATGTAACGCAAATTTGACCTTGTTTGAAATTGTGGCTTTTCAAAAGTTATTCCATAAATTGGTGAGAACTTGTTTCATATTCACTCAGATTTGCACGTGAGAATAATTTGGCTCCAGTATTTGGTTGATATATTGACTCTTTTTAGAAGCTGTATTTTAGTATTTCTGTGAGTTAGACGACCCAGAGGTTCACTCGTTGTTTTACTCTCGAGTGCAACTCTGAACATTTCAAAAAGAGAAGTCGGAAGTGACTGATGAGCTCTGAAAGTTCAGAGGTGCGTGAATGTCTACGACTCTGACTGCAGAGGAAACCTCGCGTCAGACATTAATAAACAACCTGGGAAAACTACTAATAAACGGAAAAGACACAAACTAAAAATGAGCTTTTTTTTCCATTTTAGACTAAATTTAGCTTTTGATGAAAGACATTACAGATTAAGCATGGTATTGCTGACTGCTTAAAACTTGCTCACCCAAATAACTACGGTGAGTGTCTGAAAGCTTGAATAATTGATGCTTGTAAAGAAGTAGCTGCTCGTAAAGTAATTAAAAATGAAAGGTAATATGAATGGTGGTGGTTGGAGCAGGGGCGGATTTAGGACTGAAGAAGATCCGGGGCTTAACACACGCGCGTGCGCGCGCGCGCGCACACACACACACACACGTAACACGCACTAGCCTTTTCATAAAACATTTGGGGCTTGAGCCCAAGTAGCCGGGCCTAACGCCGCCCCTGGGTTGGAGTCTGAAAGAAACCAGAGAGCTGCTTGTAGTGTTGTCGGATCAGCAACCAAGAGAAAGCAGTACCGTTGTTAGGGGAGAATTTGTAAGTATTGAAGTGTTACTGGTAAAAAATTGTGAAATATCTATTTTATATGTAGAAACATCAGTAACTAAAATTGAGTACATTTCCTACATGATGTCCTCAACGGCAAAGACCAAACAGGCGTGCTTAAATAAATCAGCTTCAGCCTTTACAATATAATCTCATTGGCATGTATCCTGTCATGTTTCTGGTCCAAGATGGTGTGTTTATATTGTGTTTTATTTTATTTTATTTTTTTTGTATTCAAGAGACTTTTTAACACGAACAAATTTGTCTCTCATCCTCCTCCACCTCTTCACATGCTCGCCACCTCTAAACCTACATTTCCCGTCATTCTCATCCACGAATAAAACGCTTGCTGCACAACTTTTCACTCCTCCAGTCACGGGGGAATAAAATATTCATATTTTAAAGTTTTTCCGCGAGGTATTCGTCAAGATGCTCCGTGTCTGCTGCTACATATCCTCGGCCCTCTTTGTTTTTGAATACGCAATGGCGGTGCGTTCGACAACAGGTGCGTCCTGACCAATCACAAGCTTGCGTTCTTCGTCTCGACGGACGGATGTTTAGATAAGGTAGCTTGACTCCGCCCGTCGTTGCGAAGGCTCTCCAGCAGGCTTGCAAGGACGGCTAAGGGCGTTGCATGCGTTCGTCCCGAAGCAGACGGAGAAGTATAAATTAAGCTAGGGAGGCCCAGACTTCCCTCTCTCCAGCCACTTGGGCAATCTTCTCCAGGGGAATCCAAAGGTGTTCCCCGGCCAGCTGAGAAACGTAGTTCCTCCAGCGTGTCCTGGGTCTTCCTTTGGATCTCCTGTCGGTTGGATGTGCCCAGAAAACCTCTCCAGGGAGGCATCCAGGAGTCATATAATCAGATGCCAGAGCCTCCTCATTTGGCTCCAGTCTATGTGGAGGAGCAGCAGATCTACTCCAAGCCCCTCCCAGATGACTGTGTCAAGCAGGAAGGCATTGGGTCCTATTTTTAAAGTCTTTGGTATGACCTGACCAGGCTTTGAACCCCGATCTCCCACTCTCAGGGCGAACACTTAGGTTAGAAGAATGAACCACGTCTCTCACAGGCCCCTGACTTTGGTCGTTAGTCGATGTGAAGCTACATGTCGGGCTGCTATTTCCCCCCAAGTAAGAAATCTTTAGGCAATTATACAAGAAGCAGCTGAACATAAACCAGGACTCTTCAATAACCAGATAACACCTTCAGGCAATACTGGAACAGAGATGAAAGGTGAATGCCAGGAAATACACCCACCCATATCATTCCAGTCCATCCCATCCTACGCCACACTGCATTCCTACCTTCTGCTGACCTGGACACACTTTTAATCACTTTTACAAAGAAACACACACATAAGCAATCTTCCTCCCTCATATCTTGCTCTTGCACATACCCCTTTCACTGTGCCCCTCTCACACCATGAATTAATGTGGAATAATAACACAGATACAGACTTGCACACACACCCACACAGGAAATCCTACTAATTTTCCTGTCAGCCTTGAACTGTTTCCCCACATTCAAGCAGAGGCAAAGTGAAAATTTTCGTTTTCCTTAAAAACTGTTGCAGCCTGTGGAAAAAACGCATGTATACTTACATAGAGCTCCAGAAGGAGGGCGCACTCATGCTGAAGCAGTTTGGCAGTTTCAGCAGCTCTGGTGAAAGCGATTTTGCTGTCATCCTCCCTGCTGATACCTCTGCTCCTTTTCCCAGGCATTGTCGCTCTCCCAGTTTCTTCTGTCTGACACTGTCCTGGTAAGTCTTGTAGCTACAGGAGAGCAACAGGTCAGGCTGTCATGTGGATTCCCGATCACACAGCTGACCTCACTTTTCCCACTCACCCAAGAATCAGCTCTTCATCTGGCGTCAGAGCACCTCCGTCATCTGCAGTTCCGGAAAGCCGAGTTTGAAAGTTGCTGTGAGCTGCTTGTGTTACTGGCTCAGAAGTGAACTCCCCCACCCTCTCCCCCATGAACCTGATGCCAAGGAGGAGGAAACTCAGCTGAACAAGCTAGGGGCGGAGAGCCCCGGGACGACAGAGCTGAAGGAGGAGCTCACCAACTTATGCATGAACAGCCTGTCAGGTTTCCTGGTAGTGACAGAGACAGAGAGGGTCTAAATTTAAGTGGGATGCTGTCTGAACTATTTTAAACAGCCTCAGTTGTCTTTTTGTGTGGCTCATGTCCGATAAAAGGTTTACAAATATCAGAGTGGAAACATGTGTTCTTGTCAGTCCAACAGGAAGTCTTAACTACAAGAAAAGTGCCTGCAGAGTTTTTCCACCATCCCCCTTCTGAAACTTCCACATAAACGTTATCACAAAAAGTTAGGAAATGGGTGCTTGGTTGATGTATTTGTCACAATGCTTCTTGGCATAAATACCATACCAGTGGAAAGCCCGGTTAATCTTTTTCACTTACAAGGGAAAACTTTTGAGGATTGCGCATCCATGGAAGGAGCAAATCAACATCAGGGCCATTCGACCTGTAATTTTGCTGCTGGCTTAAATGAACTACAGTAATGTGCAAAATTTAACATGCTAAGTTAAATTATAGTTAAGTGATAAAATTAGGTGTAGTGGAGCACGAGACATGCAAAACATGCAGAATGGTTGTTCTATTTCGTCTAGTCTTAGCCCTTAAGCTAGCTGCTATTGGAAGGATGATCTCAGCATCAGCCAATCATGAAGAGCTTAAATGTACGCCCACCAATGGTGGGCACCCCTGTGGGTATATAAGTGGAGCGACTCCACTGTTCGCCTCCGTTATCTCTTCAAGCCAAGCTTAAGAGCTTCCTTTAAAGAGCAATTATCCAAGAAGGATTCTACTCACCTACCATGTCCAGCGACGCCAGGATCTGCCCGGCCTGCCAGACGGGCTCCATCTCCAGTGGCGACCTGCACTTCAAGTGTGAGGTCTGTCTCGGGGCTCATCACGCTGGCCTGGCCTTGACCCCCCAGGCCTCGTGCCCGTTTTGTGCCGCTTTGCCCGTGGCTGAAAAGATCCGCCGGGTCGAGTACTTCACCCCCACTGCAGACGAGGAATTTCCGGTGGCTGACACATACTCGCTGGACAAGGCCTTACAGTTCTTCAACGTCGGCCAGGAGCCGGCTGGCTTCAACCAACTGGACGATGTCATCGACAGTGAGGAGTACGACGAGGCTGGCTGCCATAGCCCTTCTTCCCTCCTGGACAACACGGAGGTCGACGAGCCTCGCTCAGCGGGTCCTTCTGCTCCAGTGACTTCTCGCTCCTCCCTGCCAGCAGTTAGTGCACTGCCCCAGGAGCTGCCTGCCATCATCTCTGCGGCTGCGGTCCGCAAGGGGCTAGCCGTGCCAGAACCTGCTCCGCCTGAAGCAGATGATTTGGCGGGAATTTTCGCGGCAACACAGACGTGCTGTCCAGAACCCATCTGGCCGCACTTCCCCACTGCCATGAGCTGCTGGTCCGCCGCCTTCTCCGAACCTGCTAAGCTCAAGGCGCCAATTTCCACATATGCGCCCATCACCAAGGTCGAGGGCTTCTCAGACCAAGGCTGGCCTTGCGTTCCTCCACTGGAGCCGGACTTGGCCTCGCTGTTTGGTGCCAAGAACCACCTTGCTGGCCCGCGAGCAGTTCCCGCTTATAAGCATGACCAGCTGCTGATGCGGCTCACCGATCGCGCACACCAGTGCGCCTTCCAGACCAGCGCTGCAGGAAACAACATCGCCCTTCTTGCCTTTGGCGTTTCCAAAATGGTGGAAGAGCTTGACGCTGCTGACGAGTCAAAAACCATCATTACTAAAACTGCTGATGCCATTCTCAATCTGCGCTGCTGTACTCACCGGTTCTGCTCGCATTGCTGCCTGGCAGACCATTATCCAGCGGGCCTTGTGGCTCAAGGCCCTGCCCTCCATTCCTGAACACCTGCACAGGGAAATGCTGGAAGGCCACATCACCTCTGACGTTCTGTTTGGTCCCCATCTTAGGAGCGTCATCGAGAGGGCTCAGAAGACAGCTGAACTGTCAGCCACGGTGCGAGACCTGGTCCACCCTCGATCTGCCTCGCACTCCGGCCGTTCCTCCAGAGGATGGGACGAATGGCACGGAAACGTCAGGCGCCCAGCTGCACCGCCCGCCCCACGGAGCCGGCCTCCTGCTGAGGTGGAGCCGAAGCGGGACCAGAGAGTTGGCGGCCAACGGTTTCGAAAGAGCCAGCAGACACCGTCTTGGCAGTCACAGTCGCAGGAACCTCGCCGAAAGCAACCACGAAAATGACTCGTTGGGGGGAATGTGTGTGCTTATGACTGTAATAACTCTGTGAATGATGTTGGTTTTGAAATAAAACCCAAAAAACGTCACTTAGAGAGCACAATCCTACAGTTCTCTGCAGAATCCTCTGCCGAATCCTCACACATGTTCCCCACACCAAGCACTGCGACACATCTGCATGTTCCCGCAGTCAGTCATATTACACGGCCAGCTGTACGGGTGCACTCCATTTGCGCACCGGCCCTAGCTCCCAGCCAGGCCCAACACATTCCGCTTCCCTCACAACGTTGGGTGGGACAGGATGTCATGGCGCTGTCGCGACCACGAGCGGTGACAAAGTGCACGACTCCATCCGCTGGCACTTTGTCGTCCCCGTGCACGGGCCCGGCTCCCACTCGTCCTTCATCCTTGGACTCCACGCTCCGCGATGCGGATCAGCCTCTTCCAGCTGTTTCACACTCGCCCTTTTGAGCGCAGCCCTCCATGGGTCGCTCCCAGTTCTCTGGTGCGAGCAACGGCGGTAAGGGCGCGAACCCAGTCCTCAGACGTCGTTTACGTGACCTCGAACACGCGTCCGCTGTCGGAACGCGCGCAAGAATGGCGCCGCCTTTGTCTCATGAGCAAATGGATATCGGAGACCATTCATTGCGGTCACACACTCCATTTTCAGTCCGCTCCTCCTCCCTTCAACGGGATCGTGGAGACGACGTTCACGACACAGGAACAATCTCAGGCCCTGGAGCTAGAGCTGCGGGAACTTCTGTCCAAGGACGCCATTTCCCAAGTCCCTCGCGGACAAGAGCTCTCAGGCTTCTACTCCCGCTACTTCGTAGTACCGAAGAAGTCGGGAGGAATGAGACCAATTCTCGACCTTTCCCTGTTCAACTGCTCCATAGCAGTGATGCATTTCCGCATGTTAACAATGAGGCAAGTCCTAGAATATGTGCGCTCTGGGGACTGGTTCACGTAAATAGACCTGAAAGACGCATACTTCCACATCCCAGTAATTCCCAAACACCGGAAGTTCCTGCGCTTTTCATTCAAGGGAGTTCAATACCAGTTCAATCGTCTCCATTTCGGCTACTCGCTAGCACCGCGCACCTTCTACAAATGTCTGGAGACGGCCCTGCAGCCATTGCGCACGGTGGGAATGAGGGTTTTATTTTACCTGGATGATCTGCTCCTATGCGCCCGGTCCAAGGACGAGGCGTCAGAGCAAACCAGGAAGTTAATAGAGCATCTGTCAACCCTGGGGTTTTCCATAAACTGGGAAAAGAGCTCCATCCTTCCATCCCAGTCGATTGTGTTTCTCGGGGTGGAGCTGAACGCCTCCCTAATGAGAGCACGTTTGTCTCCGGCGAGAGCGGCAGATCTCACCACGGTGGTCTCCCGCGTGCAACCCCGCAAGATCGTGAGAGCCCTGTTAGTCATGAAAATTCTGGGCATGATGGCTGCAGCCCACGCTGTGGTGCCGTTAGGTTTACTGCACATGAGACGCCTACAGCGTTGGTTCATCCGCTTCCGGGTACACCCGATACGTCAGAAAAGACATATGTTGAGGGTTCCCCCTTCAGTGGGCGGGGACCTCGCTCACTGGGGGAATCCCTGCATCCTCTCACACATCACACGTATCTGTGTTTACGGATGCGTCACTGTTGGGATGGGGGGGCACGTGCTTGTCCCATACGGTGGCAGATCGCTGGCCCTCCCACACGCATGAGCACATAAATGTGTTGGAGCTGATGACAGTGAGGAATGTGATCAGACACTTCGCTGCCCTTCTCAAGGGCCGTCATGTCGAAGTTCACACAGACAACCAGGTGGCGGCAGCCTACATAAATCGCCAAGGGGGAGTTCGATCCCTCCCACTATTGCGTGTAGCCACAGATTTACTGTGTTGGGCACATGTCCACCTGCTGTCCATCAAAGCCACCCACATTCCGGGGGTCCTGAATGTGGCAGCAGACATCCTGTCGAGAGGGGGACCCCGCGACTCCGACTGGCGTCTGCATCCCACACTGATGGCACAGATATGGATCAAGTTCGGGGAACCCTCTGTGGATCTGTTCGCGGCTCGCGAAAACGCTCAGTGTCGCCTGTGGTTTTCCCTGAGTCCCCGGGACCACCCCCCCACTCGGGGCGGACGCCTTCTCACACCAGCCCTGGCCTCAGACGCTCCTGTATGCGTTTCCGCCAGTCCCACTGATTCCCCGTCTCCTGGACCGAGTTCGGTCGGAACAGCTCTCTGTAATTCTGGTAGCTCCCAGACGCTTGTTTGCGTCATGGTTTCCAGACCTGCAAGCGCTAGTGTCCGGCTCCCCGTGGAGGCTCCTGTGGAGGGCGTCTCCAGGCGGATGGGATAATCAAACATCCTCCAGAAATAGGCCAACGGCTGTGGGCCTGGCCGCTGAGCGGTCACGCTTAGAGGCTTCCGGGCTGCCGCATGATGTGGTCGCCACGATTCAGAGTGCGCGGGCGCCTACTACCGTCACATCTTATGCTGCTAAATGGGCAGCTTTCCAGAAATGGTGCACAGAGCGGAATGTTCAAGCGCTCTCCTGCCAGCTGGCGGATGTCCTATCGTTTCTGCAGATACTGATGGGCAGGGGCCTCGCATTTAGCGCTATTAAAACATATGCTGCAGCTATCTCATCCTGTCACCAGGGTTTTGGAGATAGAACTGTGTTCAATCATCCCCTCACAAAACGTTTTCTAAAAGGTGTCAGAAGGAACAGACCTGTGTCCCGCCCGCTATTCCCCCAGTGGGACCTAACGGTGGTTCTGCGCGGCTTATCTAAAGCCCCATTTGAACCCTTGGACCAGGTCTAACTCATGTTCCTGTCACTCAAGACTGCCTTGCTGCTGGCGCTGGCATCAGTTAAGAGAGTGAGAGACCTAACCGCCCTCTCAGTGGCTCCCGCATGCCTCAGGATCCGGGAAGATGGCGGGTCTGCTGTTTTATGCCCCAACCTAGCCTTTGTGCCCAAAAACATTAATACTTCCTTCACATCCAGGTCAATTTCATTGGCTGGACTTTTTCCTCCTCCCCATAATTCTGACGAGGAGGCGGCTTCCCACCTTCTCTGCCCGGTGTGTGCTCTCGCACGATATGTGTCACGCACTTCAGGGATTCGCTGGTCACAAAGCCTGTTTGTGCACTACAGAGATTCTTCCCTTGGGCAAGCGCTGTCGTCCCAGTGTCTTTCACACTGGCTATGTGATGCCATTTCACTCGCTTACACATCATCAGGGCGGGATCCTCCTGAGACACTCAGGGCTCACTCAGCCAGAGGGTACACCCTCTGAGCCAGTGAGCCAGGATGGAGGGTCAGCTGCTGGATCTGTGGCTGCAGAACAGTCTGCACAAACTGGACGGGCATCTGCAGCTGGAGGTGGGTTTGCTGCTGGTGGTCAGCTGGAGAAGGGGGGTCGATCGGGGACAGGGCAATCGTTACCGGCACCTGCATGGCATGGAGGCTCTGGTCTTGCCCCAGTAGAACCACCTGAGGATTTGCATGTTGAGCCATGTGATTCACATGCTCTTCTATGGCGCTCCACAGTGGTGTGTCGATGGAAGACATTTGTCAGGCTGCTTCATGGGCTTCACCCTGTTCCTTTACTCGTCATTATTTACGAGATGTGTCTTCAGGATCCATCACTCGTTCAGTGCTTGGACCTCAGCAGGCTGAGTGAACGCATTATGGCACCTCATCAGCCCTGCTTGAATGAATTTCATCCTCATGATATTTTTAGTGGGGGCCCCACTCTTCTCTGTGGCTGGCTCAGCCTTTTAAGCCTTGGGCTGAGGCTGAGCGACCCTCGCTAAAAGGAGACGTGTTGCGTGTGTCCATTGGTTGAGCTAACCAGTGTGGCGTAAACCCATCCAGCTGCGCATTATTCCAATAGCAGCTCGCTTAAGGGCTAAGACTAGATGAAATAGAACGTTGGTTACGTATTGTAACCCCAGATTCTATGAGTCTAGTCACAGCCCTTAAGCCACTGGCCCCACTGGTTCTGTTAGGACTAAGAGCCATCGGAGGCGAACAGTGGAGTCGCTCCACTTATAGACCCACAGGGGTGCCCACCATTGGTGGGCGTACATTTAAGCTCTTCATGATTGGCTGATGCTGAGATCATCCTTCCAATAGCAGCTAGCTTAAGGGCTAAGACTAGACTCATAGAATCTGGGGTTACAATACGTAACCAACGTTATTAAGGACTGGGGTTTCTGACCCCTGTATTAGAGTGACCAACACCACCATGCTGGTTGACCTTCAGCAACTCCTGTTAAGAATGCCTGCTGCATGATGTGATGAGACTGGTGACCAGCATGAGGAAGAGCAAAGTTGGATCTTCTACATGCTACAGAAGTCCCTGACTGTGCAGAATAAGCAGTGTAAAAATGGCCAATATGTGTTGCATATCCCTTATTGTTGTGGTTCTTCTGCAATAATCTAATCCACCGAGCAACTCAAAATAAGTGTAAATCCAAACAGGAGAACATCAGGGGGAAAGGAGGGGGGTATCTTAATTATGGGGTGCTACACAGATGTGCTGCTCATTCCATGAAGAATAATTGTGCATTAATGCAGTAGTTTGTCATTTGAACTATTTTTTTCTGTCCTTTGTTCAAATAAAATTACAAAAAACTGTAAATGCTGATGAAAGTTCTCCATCATTCAAAGCATGGTGACCCTGGTATTGGTCTACTTAAAAAAAAAGTTTAAAAATTAATCATTAGGTGCAAACGTTATTATTTTGACTTATTAAAATTAGAAAAAGACTTAAGGATGAATTTAATGCAAATAAAAGATGAAAAACAAGTCGTGTTTTAATTTTATACTGAAGGATAGAGTAGAACCGTATTCCCAAATCAAATCAGATCAACAGGGGGCTAGTGTAAATTTACTGTGTATGTAATACCACGTCTGCCCAGCAAGGGTCAGTGTAGACCTTTAGAGTAAAAACATTAGAAGAAGAAACAAACACCGACCGCAGTAATTTCTAAGGGTTTGTGAAAACGAAAAGGAAAATTTGTGTCTACATTTCCTGTTACGATTTTAGTTTTTATACAATTTCTAGTAAAATTACTGCAAAGAGCATAATTATCGCAATTTTGTCCAGAGAGCGAGCTAACAGGCTAACTAGCTTAGCTTCAGGATGAACTCTCTGGTTAACTACGGAGCGTCCTCTGACAGCGAGGAGGAAGTGGAGGACGTAGATTTCAGGACAACTTGGTGAGTAGAAATGTGACACTAAGTTGACTGAAACATAGTTGTTTTACAATCCTCAACTCTTTATCGTTTTCTTTTGGAGCTCCCCGAAGGACTTGGGCGATGATGCTGTTACCAAGAAGAGCCGCAACTTTCTACTCGAGTCTGGTTCCGCCTCAAGCGACTCGGACGATCCAGAGCCCCCATCATCATCTCCACATCAACAAACTCCACTGTCTTCTGCACTGGTCTTCCCCCCACCCTCGCTAGGGCCTCCTACTCCTATTAAATTACCATCGCCATCTCTAAATGCCTCCTCTGGTAGTAGCGTGTTTACCAACCCCTTCAAGGCTCAAGCAGAGCAGAAGCTTAGCGCCCTGCAGAAACACGTTCCCCTCACGATGCAGGCCAGACCCTCTCAGATAGGAGGTAAAAAGGTGTGTGTGTCATACAGGAAGAATGGAAGGTGCAGGTTTGGGATCAAATGCAAGTTTGCTCATGACAGTGACCTTCAGACCCCAGCAACTGCCAGCGACACTCATCCAGGTGTGAATGAGGACACACCATCAGCTCACTCTGGGGGTGGAGGAGCCCTCAACACCAAGCAAGAACCAAAGAGGTCTGAACAGCAGCAAACAAAGAAGAGGGTTGGATTGAGTAACACTTTGATTCCCCCCAAAAGAGCGCTGAAGCAGTATACGATGCAAAGGGAGAGAGAGAGAATCAATACTATGGACAAGTCTGCATCACCTGCAGCTCATTAGTTTTTATTTCTTAAATATACACAAAGCATCTTTATTTTTGCTTAAACTACGTAAATAACTGAACTGCACTGACAACAACATGTAAATATTTACTCTGCAGTTGGATTTTCCACATAAATGAACGAACACACAGGATAAATGTTGACCTTTATTTACATTGTATAAATGCACTGGTTAATGTGTTTGTGCTCAGACAAATTCATTGTGACAGATGATTAGTTTCTACATAGCTTCGTTTTTCAAACATCACAAGTAAAAGACAAATCTGTGACAGCTTACTGGTTTGAACATGATCTGCGTACGTCACCGGTCATTATTTGGCTGCTTAGAATGGACAGAAATAAGAAATAGACTAAGATGGTTACTGTTCCTACTGTCTGTCTCAGGTTCATTTACTGCAAAATATCAGAAATAAGCATTTTCTTAACTTTTTAACATGTTAAATGTGTTTGTCTTCTTTTCAAGGGGTTGGCACGTTCCCTCCGTCTTTGACATTAGATCTGTTTATATTTGTATCTTTATCTTGGAAAAATAGGCAATAAATGAAAAGATGACCAGTGTTTAAAAATGAATTACTCATATTTTGTGAACGTTTATAGCTTTCTCTCGTTAAGCGTTACATAAATAAAAAAAATTCTCGTCTTATTTAATGCCACACATTAGGTATTTACTATATATTTATCAGAGGTGGGCTATTATTGCATATGTGCAACCTAAGTCAGGACTTTACACACTCAAACAGCTAGTTCTAGGACCATTATGTACAAAGGCAACAACACACACACACACATTTCCCTGATACAGAAAGAGCTACAAAGTTTGACAGTAGGTGAACAGTACATATCAGGGATCCTACATTTACCTTATGCCGTACAACAGCCAGAGCGTCTCTACCCCGTCTGTCCCCAGACAGAGCTGTCCTCCCCTTCCGCCTGCTGGAGCGAGCTCCCTGATGGAGACGAAGAAGAAAGCACTGGATTGTCCATAACGAAGGTGTCTCTGTTGGCTGAGGCTGGATCATGGGACTGGCATTGGGAGGTGGACATCATAGGAGGGCTAGGAACAGCTGTCTGCAGCTGTTGAGAGGTGGCTAACATAGGGATCTGCTGAATGTGGGTGTGAGACTGGTTGACGGGCTGGAAGGCCATCTGCAGGATTTGTGGCTGGCTCTGCTGATGGGATGCGTAGGGCTGAAGAGGCTGGAGCTGCGACTGATGCTGGGTCACCACTGAGCCAGGATGGAGGGTCAGCTGCTGGATCTGTGGCTGCTGAGCAGTCTGCACAAACTGGACGGGCATCTGCAGCTGGAGGTGGGTTTGCTGCTGGTGGTCAGCTGGAGAAGGGGGGTCGATCGGGGACAGGGCAATCGTTACCGGCACCTGCATGGCATGGAGGCTCTGGTCTTGCCCCAGTAGAACCACCTGAGGATTTGCATGTTGAGCCATGTGATTCACATGCTGCTCGTCCTGGCCCAGCTGATCCTGACCGTCTTGTCCAACGGTGCTCACGTCCATACCTGTAACATCTGCTTGTACGGGGTCTCCCGGCAGCTCCAGCAGGGAGGCAGGGGTTGTGATCAGAGCACCAGCGTTAGCTGCTAATGCCTCGGCGATCAGAACCTCTGGGTGGCTTTTGGCCTTGTGGGCCACCACACAGTCCTTCTTCTCAAACTTCTTCCCACAAATGGAGCAGGAGAACTGATAGGTGGCGTCGGCGTCGTGCTTCTTCATGTGCCAGTTGAGAGAGGCTTTCTGGCGACACGTGAAGCCGCAGATCTCACACCTGTTAGTAGCAAAGAGAGAGAAATGCTTAAATGTGACTAATCCGAACGAAGCAGGACAACAAATCCAGTGGAAGTAGAAGAAGAGTGCTAACTGGAGGGGTTTCTCTCCGGTGTGGATCATGCGGTGCACAGCCAGATTGTGGGAGCTCTTAAAGGCACGAGCACAGAACTCACAGATGTAATCCCTCTGGTCTGGGAAGAAGAAAACAAACAAAACAAATATATATATATATATGACAAGTGTTCTCGTGCTTTAATTTCTAGAACCAAAAACAGTAATCCAGGTGAGGAGTACCTGTGTGATGCTTTGCATGACGCAGCAGCTGCTTCTGCAGGCGAAAAAGCCTTCCACAAGATGGGTGAGGACAGACGTACTTCTTCTTCAATAAGTGCTGGTACTTTATATGGTGCTGGTGGTAAAATAGCACATAACACTGATTTAATAAAATGGGGTAAAAAAAAATTATTTTCCACATTCACAGCTGAACCCTAACTTTTAGTCGAATGCACAACTTCTCATCTTTAAAAGCACAAATTCAGAATTAATACTGCCCGATTAACCTGCAGTCCCTAAAGGCCATTTTCAGATGCATTTTTGATAATATGAAACCAGAAATGGGAACAGCTTCAATAGAAGCTCATCTTATATTATCATTAGACTGTAAAGCTAGAAGAAACAGGATTTATCATGTACCGTAGTTTCACGACCATAAGGCGCACCTCAAAAGTCTTAAATTTTCTCCAAAATGTACGCCGCGCCCTATGGTGCGGTGCGCCTATTGTGTTGCTGTGAGACGCGAACGTAGTAGAAGACAAGGGGCGTGGCGTGAACGTGCGGACGTGAGCGAAGACAGACCTGTGGATCTGCCACATCGTCATCAACATCCTCGCTGTTTGCCTCAGACTCCGGCTGTGAGTCTCCGTCCACTTCCTCTGCTTCCAGTTAAAAAAAAACAGCCGTACTATCTGAACTGCCTGGTGGACATTTATCCTTCTCATCATCCTTTATTAAAGCCTAATAAAAGCCTACTAAACTGCAGAGACAATATATCTGTCCGGATCGCTCCAAAATATGAAGTTTACCGTCAATATCTGTCTAATTGTTTGTTGTTACTCCGTTCGCGCCACTCCTTTCCCCGAAGCGGCTCCTTTTTGGGCACATCTCGTTACTCGTGCACCCTTCCTCTCTCTCTCAGCTACATAATGAGACTTTTTATCAACTGAACATGTGAGACTTCCACCAACAAGATCTCATGTTTTTGTGGGTTTTTATGTTCACAAGCACATTCCCTCTCACGGATTACTAAACTGCTGTTTTGACAAGTTATCAGATTGTCTAAAAATAGGTCCCTTTTTAGTTTAGAATAACTCCGCTTTTACGATGCCTGTTAACAAAATTTAAAAACTGGGGTATAGTTTATAATCTCCTTTTTAAAGCTGAATTGAAACCGAAACTCAGGGAGGCGGAGTCTTGCTGCTACAGCGTCCCAAATCAGACCTGTTCAAAAGACGCGGATACGCGTCCGTGGACCCCAGAGGGTTAATAAAACACAACTCAAATCACACTATTTTCTTAGGCCTATTAATAACACACATATGATTTTGTTCATGTGGAAAGTTTATGTGGTTAAATCCACCAACTACCGGTAAACACATTCTGAACTTCAACACAGCGCATCAGCGCTTGAAGCGGCGCTGCGAGCAGCTGCGACCCACAAAGTACCAGAACCGCTCACAGCGCATGCGCAATCACGCATCAACACCGCTCGCCCGCTATTTCCCTAATAACACACGCTGTTCGTTTTTATTTCTACACGTTTTTTTTACTCATAAAGATTGTCAAGAAAGAGTGCTTGTCGCGTTCATGTCAAATTAAACTGATCACAAAACACAGATTTACTTTCTTTATTTCGTTTCCTCATCCAACCCCCATAAATCCCTGTGTGTCCTCCTGCAGCACTCCCGGTGTACGCCTGGCTTTAGTAGGAGGGAGACCCGCGATTATCGCTTTGTCCCGCATGTCTCATTGAAAATGAATGGAGGAGAGGCGAAGTTGCCTCCTGTGTGTCGAGCCCATTAGAAGAGCACGAGCCGTCAGCAAGTGGTGCTCGCTGCAGAACCACAAAGGCGGAGCTGCACCAGAGTCAGCCCCGCCCATTCCAGAATCAGCCCCGCCCATTCTATCAGAGTCAGTCCAATTCCTTCCAGTTGTCAGACTTTATAGCATTCTGGAACCAAAGAGGGTGTTATAGCTAAAAAATGCAAGATTGAGGACGGAGTTGAGAAGTGAATTGAACAGTTTTTGTAAAGGTTCCATATAATTAAAAATCTAACTTTGGGAACTTTTAATCATGTTATATTGTCATTTCCTCATAAGAAACACGCCAAAGCCATTTTTGGCCTCATTCATGCATTTTCTTCCCATCTCAGCTTCAATTTGGTCTCCTCCCCCGAAGCGGGTCTGGTCTTGGTTCTCAAATCTGGATATTCTGTGAATTTTCTGACAAATTATTTCTGAAATGACTTCTACTGAGACACCGCCAGAAAAATCATACACCCAGTCTACAAAGACACACTGGATAGAAGAATAACATGTAACGCCACTCATGTACTATAAGATGTGGTGGTGTAGTGGTTATAGTGTCTGGTTGAAATGCAGTTTTGCGCAGGTTCGCCTCCCAGCAGTGGAAATATTCTATAACCACTTTTCCTCATTTCTAGCTACACTTGCCAGTACTATGTTTACAACAATTTATTGGTATGCCGTTTAACATATAATGACTAATGTGTTTTTTTATTTATTCATTCGTTTATTTAGCCAGTGTGAGTCCATTTGTGAGCAGTTTCAACTAAAATGCTGTTTAGGAACGACCAAATTCAAAGAACTTGTAGAGACATAAATATTTTGCTGAAAATGAACATTACAACTAAAATATGAACAAATTAAATGTTTCAGCTGGCTAAATAGATTGTTGCCGACCCCACCGAGAACCGAACCAGCATCAGCTGAGGGGAAAGCAAAACTTAAGTCAAACGATCTTGCCACTGGACTACCAGAACCCACATAATGCCGTCAAATGTTGTTGTACAGGACTTTTGTTAGAGCGGCTATGGGCAGATATTCGCTAAAAGAAACCTTTTCATTTCAAGATATATTCAGACTTTGTCATGTAGCAAGTTATATTTACCTTGTTTAATTGGAGCATAGAACATAGCATTAACGACTGTAAACTAGTAACAGCCGTAATTCATGAGAGTCAGGTTAGTTTGCGATAAAGTTGAAAAACAAAAACGGAAGTCAGTGGGCTAGGCTGAGTTTGCGTGAATGGGCGGGGCTGACTCTGGTGCAGCTCCACCTTATGGTGCAGCTCCGCCTTTGTAGGTCTGCAGCGAGCACCCTCTCGCCGTCACTGCACGCAGTGAGAAAGTGCACGTGCGCTCTAACCAGGTCTGAACCAGGACTAGACCAGTAAAGTGAAGCATGCTTCTGGCTGTTTATAATTTTCACAATGTCTGGTTTGCACTGATATGTTCCGAGTCCCGAGCCCGCACAGATGTTTTACCGGTACGTTTTACCGTGCCCGCGCCCTATAACCCGGTGCGACCTATGGTCGTGAAAATACGGTACTCCTGCCCATAACAATTGTTAAACAGGTGCAGGGCGTCTTTTACATTAGTCCCTTTGAAATAAATAACTACAGGAATGCAACACGTCTTATTTTAGAACATTACTGATTTTTGACATCCAAGTACAAATAAAACTTCACATTTATGGGTTTTATTAACAGGGGTTTATTTTATTTAACCTGCATTCCAGTTCAGAGTCTGATAGACAGAAGCAGGTTATGTGCACATAATGTGTGCAACAGAATAACTAGGTGTGGTTCCTGGAGTGATTTAGAACGTGAACTGAAACTAACAACACGTCTGCATTTCCACTGGACGTGTAAGCACTTTGGACGAGTCCTAAAACCGCAGCGACGCGTCACTTCTTAAAATTTTCGCTTCAAGATTGAATTCAACGCAGTGTAAGTGTGTCGGTTTCTTTTTTTTTTTCCTCTCCCTCTCTGGGAGAGGGTTGAGTTGGTGGTTGGGGGAGGGATGAGGGGGTGGGGTGGGAGTGTAACTCATTTGTGTTGATTGTATGACCGTTGGGGACAAAAAATAAAAACATTACTTTGCATATGTGATGTATGTTTTTTTATGTTGGACATTTGATGAAGTAAAAAAAAAATAAAGATTAAATTCAACACTTCCAGAACGCTCAGCAGTTCAGATCGAGCCAGACAGGAAGCCAAACACAAAAGCAGAGTAAAACATCTGTAAACTTTTAAAATACAAGATTTCCAGTCATTTAACTAGTAAAACAAATCCGATGTTACCTGTGAAAGCCCCGTAGCGGAGTTAATGAGAACAGATCTTTTTGGATGCATGCTGCCATCTTTCTCCGTGCTCGTCATCACGTGAACTGCCAGATTTATAATTTTTTTGTTTTTATTTTTTGCACTTCCTTCCAAGACCTCTTGGCCAGGTCATGTTTGTAAATGAGAACATGTTCTCAAACATTTAACCTGGTAAAATAAAGATTGAAAAGATTCACGTGTGATCTTGCAACTGTCCTGTGATTTTGTGACCAGCTGAGCAGAACGCCTTCACTGCCTGTTCGTGTCTTAATCGCTCTCAATGAGAAGTGGCGTGCTGCTGAGCTCACGGGAAAAACGCGCCTGAGACGCAACGCTTATGCGTCCAGTAGAAAAAGCCCAGTAAAACTCTGTCTCATGGAAAATGTGGTTTTATAAATTCAAACTTGTATTTTTAGATAAACGAGATAAGAAACTAAGGGTGTTTCTCAATGCCAAGGAGCCTTGCCTTGATGTCTTGGTCCCCCCCAGTTGCCTAGGAGATACGTCATCAGGAATCGCCAAGGCGTGTTCCAATGTTCATGTTCTACCAAGGCGTGTGTTCTCCGTTTGTTAGCCGTTTAGCTAGCTGAGCAAGGATACATGGGAGGCGTCTTGTAGCCTAGCCTAGGTCCAAAATTATTTTCAAAGAAAAAGTATTTTCAAAAGGATGGCGGATAAGAAGCCGGTAGCTACTTCGGGGGCAAATTTCAAGTTTAAATGTAAGTCAACTAATTTAAAATAGCGATGCACCGATATGAAATTTTTGGGCCGATACCGATATTGAGATCACTGTTATGGCCGATAACCGATATTTGCCAATACCGATATACTGACATTATTGCTTCTAAAAATCTGCAGATTTTGAATAGAATTTACGTTATTATGTACACACATCACACACATGTATGGTTCTGAGATGATTTCATTCACTGTTCACATGACTAAACAAGTACACATCGCCCCCTCACCCTCTGAAACAGGCAAACGAACGGAGACGAGCTGGAAAAAATATCGGTCTGGTTTTATTCGTCGAACAGATACGTTAAAAAATGACTAACATCGGCCGATATCGATATTGATGCCGATATATTGTCCATCTATTTGTTTTAGATCCAAAGCAGTTATCGATGGTTGGTTAGTTGCTTAGTAGATGCAGCTTCGGTGGCTAGCGTGTTGTAACTCGCTTACATATTTAATTTAACCAATACATAAACAGTTTAAAAGTAAAAGGCTCGTTATATATTTATACTGAAACTTATACGTATAAAATATAACGTTATCTCCCGTGTCACGTGACTGCCGAGGAAGCCACGGCCACGTGATGCAAGTCTGTTCCATTTAAGGCCAGGCATCTTGACATTGAGAAACACCCATTGTCCGGAAGGTGCTTTTGATCGTAATTCAGCCTCTAATACTGTGTACATCCTGGAGCAATGGGTGGGCACCGCGTGGCTGCTCGGACCAACCTGAAGGTAGCGAGGGTGAGCCAGCACCGTCCCACAGCCCTCCATCTCACAGCGCACATACTGCACCGGAGGTTTCTTCCTGAACGATTAAAGCAAACACGAAAAACAATCAGGCTTTAAGGCGAGCTTCTACCTTGCTGTGTTTCTATAATGTTAAAGCATAGTTAATATTGAATTACTGACATTTTTACTCAGACATCACTCTCACCTTTTCTTTGGCAGCCGTGGAGTTTTGTCATCTTTTTTCCTTCGACCTCTCCTAAAGCAACAAGTGTAAAAACGTGTTTCTACAATGATGCCAACAGATTTGGATTGAAGCTCGGCCAACGAGGATAGAAAGAACACACCGTTACTTTTTAACAACAAAAATAACTCAAACACAACTACTTACTTCCTGGGTCCATCTGGATCTTCTATAATCTCCTCTTCCATCTTTACTTCTTCTGCAACCTCCGAGCTCTCTGACCTTTCCACTTTGATCTCCGCCACCTCCTTTTCTTTCTTAGGAGCTCTATCCTTTTCTTTCCTTTCCTTCTGTCTCGGGGGAAGCCGGCGCTTTGATTTGGGAACATCCCTAAAACAAATCAAATGAGCGTATTTCAATCATGAAAAGATGTTGAGTTAAAAAGCAAATGAAGGCAGAACGAACCTTTCAGCCCTCGGGTCGTAGCTCTGGTCATTTAGGTCGTCTCTGAAAGGAACATCTTCATCACTACTGAGACTCTCTTCCTCTTCATCACCACTAAAACCAATCAAACAAAAACAGTAGGTTACGTTTTCTTCAACCGAACAGGCGCTTATTAAGCAGGTCTACCTCTGGCTCGGTGGCTGGTAGATGAGGTCACTTGGGTCATCCTGAAATTGACAGTCTTCATCATCTAGGACTTTATCAGCTGCCTCCTCGTTTTCCTCTTCTTTCTCTTTCCTAAGTGAGCATAACATTTTTGTTACCGGTTCTTCTTCTGGTTAAAGGAGTAGAGTACTGTATATGAAAAGTAGTTGCAGGTCCCTTAAATGAACAATACCATTTAACTTACACACCCCAAAATTCTTTAACTCGTAGAGCCAATTTTAGCAGCAGTGACATAAATTGCTCTCTTAAAGACCAAGTCACCCCTAAATCAACTTTCTTGGCTGGTAAACTATAAATGAGTGTAATAGTGTTAAAGACCCAGAGAAGGGTGTGCGAAGGCTTGAGGGGCCTGTCGGTGTCTGCCACAGCACTGCTGCATAGGGATGGGTACCTTTGACATTTGAATCGATTCGGTACTAATTCCCGGTACCTAGGAATCGATGCCGGTACTTAACGGTACCAATTTTCGATACTTTTGAGTGTTTATTATTTTAAGTCTCTTTTATAATTAAATATATATTTTTCTCAATATATAACAATATTTGATAAATATCACGATAAATAACATATAACTGTTTGTATTTTAACATCGTCCTTGGAGTTTTATAAGCTGACAATTAAACTGAAGCAAACATCTTTACTGTGAACTAAATTTACTGTGTATCTTCATTCCTTTTGCCGTCTTTTTTCATTCGATTTTTCCTACTGGGTAGTTAGAATTTCCGAGGAGAAAGCGAACGCACCATTAGCTGAGAACAATGGTAGCAATGGAAGCTAACATACCAAGCTAACATTATCTAAACAATTTAGCTGCTGGAGCAGATTAAAACGATGATGCCTCACACTTAGATCGTTGTCACTGGTTTCATCTTCACCCGTCACATTTAGTAAAGTGAAGCCAAACTTTAGAGCGCGTTCATGTTCTTCTAGTCGGGAATTCGTAGTTCCGAGGAGAAAGCGAACGCACCATTAGCGAAACGGAAGCTAACATATCAAGCTAATTATATTTACCTACCGGAGCAGATTAAGATGAGGATGTCTCACTTAGATCGTTGTCGCTGGTTTCATCATCACCCAGTTACCCATCACATTTAGTGAAGTGGACCCAAGCTTTAGCGTGCGTTCTTTCTACCATGCTGCTCTGTTTACAACTCGCTCGCAGCGAGCGACGACATAACGCTCTTGCGCATGCGCAGCTGTCTTGGCAAGTTCTCGTTATGATGGACGGGTACCGAAACGAGGCACCGTTTGAAATGACGTGAATCGGTGCTCAGTCAGTACTATGGAATTCGGTCGGTACCTTAAGAAGTACCAAATTCGGTACCCATCCCTACTGCTGCCCTCTCGGCCCACCAGGCGACACCTCCTTCTGGCGCACATTTCAAACAGGAAGTGTGGGTGGAGTAAGAATCAGGTAGGTGGGTGACTGGCTCTTTAAGTTCCTACAACATTTTGAGCTGGTTCAGGTCTGAATATTGGACCATTAAACCACCTGGATTGTCTCAAAGGTTGGGAACCCTTGCTCTAGAAAATGTTGGTCCACAGGAATTAATGATCCACTTTAAAATGCAAGGTGCCCAAATCATCAGCTGGTGTTTCTGACCGAGTTTTGTTTGTTTTGATTCAGTCTACCTAGACAGACTTAAGAGACGTAAGCCGTTCTCATGGTAACACTTCCATTACTTAATACACTCCTGCTCTTTTTATTGTAAAGTCGTGAACTTTTATTTTGATGCAATAAGGACTTTCATATTTTCAAATGATCAATAAAAAACACTAATCCCAGTAGTTTCTATTTGCAACATGTTGATGAAACTTTATGATTTAATGTGCTAAATAAAGATTTACTTACATGTCACACTTGTCTTCATCATTTAGCTCCTCCTCCACTGCTGTATGACCCAGAAAGACAACATGAGATCAAGTGACAAATAAATGTCCAGACTGATCTATAATAGCGCCTTTCACAGTAGCTAAAAACAGACTGTTGCAACATCGTAATACGTTCTGGGAGGTAGCCCTAGGCAAAAAGAGCTCATGGGTGCCTATGGGCCTGAGTCGCTTTGCTTGTCAAGAAAATTGTAATTTCATTTCTTAAAGATGGTCAAACAGGAAGGAACTAAGCGCGGCTGTTGAGGGTTGTGCAAATTGGACTGTAGATACCCAGATCTGATGTGGATTTGCTTTTGTGGACGTACAAGCACGATTTTTCTATCAGCAAATGTGGTTTGTTCTCTAGCATTCTTCTACACACTTTAACATCAGAGGTTGTTGATGAGTTTGCATACCAGCTTGGTTCTCCACTTCAGGTTCGGATTTACACGCAGTCTTGGCAGAACCACGGACATCCCCACCAGATGTGGGCTTGGCATTAGTCTGAGCTGAGGGTCGTCTGGTAGAAACAGCTGCAACCAAGGGAAATAATGCATTCAGTCAGAGCAGTTATTTGGGTGGTTACACATATTTATTACACTCCTGTAAGAAAACCCTCAACAGACATATTGGAGGTTTATGTGCAGCATCTCACTGAGTACCTTGAGCATCTGTGGCAAGTTTCTTAGGATCTTCTGAACTAAAGAAAAGAAAAACAACCATGTCTTACACTTTTTAAAACTTGCAGATCAACATCCGAGCACAAAATATTAACTTTTGAAGTTGAAGAAATTCATCAAATTAGAGCATCTTTCAAGACAGGTAGGTTTTACTCCACCCATGCAGAAAGGGGACGAGCCTTGCTGACTGAAGGCGTGCTTCTGACAGGACCCGACCCCACAGACACAAGTCTAACATCTGTTTAAAAACAAATGTGTCCCGGTCTGGTTGACTTCATCTAAAGTGTCATGGTTGTTGAGTTAAAAGCTTACTCTGTGCCTTGAATGTTGTCTCCTAGGACCCCCTCTCCTGCTTCCACCTGACTGGAAGAATCTGAAATTTTCTTCCGCCTGGAGCTGGAAACTTTCCTCCGCTTCGTCGCATTGCTGTCCGGAATCGGCTCGTCCTCTTCGTCGTCGCTTTTGGAGTCCTTCAGCCAGGCCGGGACTGCCCTCGTTGACCTATCTCTCAAAACGCGTCCGGAGGTCTGCGGGCTGGACGCGACGCCGTTAATGTCCCTGACTGAAGCAGGGACGCCGGACCTCGGTCGGGCCGCTCCGCGCTCTCTGAGCGCCCGCCGCGGGGTAACGTTCGAACTGGTGGCCGAGGTCTGCTCTGCGGCCTTGTCCTCGTTCGGCTCTTCACCTGTATTTATGTCCTCGGCTCGGTCGCCGGCTGGTTCCATCACCCTGAGGACACTTCAGCCTAACTCGGGTTTCTCTTAAGTCACGCAGGGTTACACGTAAAGTGAAGAAAAACTAAACACATTTGCTTTAAAGACGTTTTGAATGCAAGCGGCTCCTATCCAACAGTGGTGCATTTTATGTTGGCTTCCTAACAAATTAAATGCATAAATTAATTGCTATAAACTTAGAAGTTTTCTTAATTACCTATTCAGCAATAAACCGATATAATTTTAAAGAAGCAGACACTATTTTCTCGCTCTTAAAGCTATAGTAAACCGTAAAGTGTTCGCCTGGCCCTCGCCCGCAACCATTTTGTTCGCTTTGTTGCGTCTCCTTTAAACCAAACCAACCGAGGACAGGACATGTTCAAGAGCGGCTGCGCGTTTTAGCAACTACTTAAAGCATCCCCGGATTTACCCACGGGATCGTTACAGCATGGCCCAGTTCAGCCAGGCAGTATACAAATCTACAAACGGAGCGGCAGTCGTGTTAAGGGGACGTACACAGACTAGTTATGGAGGCATCATGGGAATTGTAGTCATAATTGGATCATAACTTGGATTTTAATTTTTAGCTTTTAGCGTAATCTATCTTTAAAATTACTATCTAAAAGTAAATTAATGTAATTTATTTTAAGGGTATAAAGTACTATTTATTGTTTGTTTATTTTCTTTGAATCTCAACATGTCACAAAGGAGAACATGTTTCACACATGCATGGTACTTTTTTCCTCTTATTAATCGGTAATAAAAAATACATATACAGTATTTAGTTAAAACTTTTTACTTTTATACGTTTGTAATTTCTAATCAAACATGTCAGATATAAAACTATTAGTTATAATATATATATATAATGTATAAACTTGTCCAAATTACATTATAATGAGCTCCTATTGGCTGGTGATTTTTTCAATTTTATTAAATCCAAGTTTATTTATATAGCGCCAAATAACGACAAGAGTCGTTTCAAGGCACTTCACATAGTAAACATTCCAATACTTGTCATTTCATTAAGCCAATCAGAAAATAGTTTCCTATATAAGGAACCCAGCAAATTGCTTCAAGTCACTGACTAGTATCAGTGTTTTTACACCAATCCTCATACTAAGCAAGCATTTAGCAACAGTGGAGAGGAAAACTCCCTTTTAACAAGAAGAAACCTCCAGAGGATCCTGGCTTAGTATAAGCAGCCATCCTCCACGACTCACTGGGGATCGAGAAGACAGAGCAGACACACGCATACACCAACACCAGCCCACCCACACACAAACACACATCCACACAAACAACATATATACCAATTAATGTTTCTATGGTTACATTGTGATTTCTTAGTAAATATTCTATTTGGTGAGGGATAAACTTTATTGTATTTATCCCAGTGAATCTATAATTAAATGGGTAAACTAGCAGTAGCACATTCAATGTCAAAGAAAGTAAAATGCTATTATCAGGAGAGGGAGAATGTTTAAATGGTTAGCAACAGTGTTCAAGATGATGGCCCCCTCCATGAGGCCACCACAGCTCAGCAGAACATCATTGTAGCTTCTTCTGGGGAGAAAAACACTTAGAGAAAAACTAAAGTTAACAGCTGAAATAGCTGGAAATTATACAGTTAAAGAGCAAATTGTAGAAGAAAGTAGTCGAGTGTGTAAAGTGGTCAGTATGTCCTCCAGCAGTCAAAGCCTATAGCAGCATAACTACAGAGATAACTCTGGATAACCTAGCCTTTTAGATGGAGGCATGTTGGAGGCAGGGCAAGGGAGAGCCGTCTTTACCGACTGTACACTCCACCTCCCTCTACTCTCCCACTTGTCCAGATCTAGGCTATTATCAGATTTTAACCATAGGCCCTATCAAATAAAAATGTTTTAAGCCTACTCTTAAAAACAGACAAACTGCCTCATGGACTAAAGCTGGGAGTTGGTTCCACAAGAGAGGAGCCTGATAGTTAAAAGATCTGCCTCCCATCCTATTTTTAGATATTCTTTTAGATTTCAACTGGGACTGGCAAAATGCAGTCTCAGATTAATTCAAAAGCTTCTGTGACTCCATAAATCTTAGCCAGTTGGTCAACCAACCCACAAGACCAAATCTTAAGAGTTGTGATGAGTCCACCTTGAGTGACTTAATTTTAACAAATGTCCCTAAAAAAACGTGATCTTTAGGCATTTCCTGCAATGACTTGAATGATCATTATGTTTTTGCCCCTTGCAGGAGCACTAAAATGCCTAACTCTAAAGGATGCATCATTGACAAGAGAATTTTTAAACAAATCAGTGATTAAGCTTATCATAAGGATTTGTCTTTGGTTAATTGGAGGCAAATGGATTTGTTACCAGATGTCGAGCTAGCATGGGCATTCTTCAAGGACAATGTCATGGAAAAATTATACCAGCTTCAGGAAACTCAGAATCAAGGAATGAAAAAAATCCCTGGTTCTCCCCCAAGCTGTCAAATATTATCCATCATTGTAATGTGACATGGGCCAAAGCCAGAAAAGGAAATCTCCCCTCTGATTGGACTATCTTTAGGCAACTTGAAATAAATGTACTACTCTCATCAAAAAGGCCAAATCAGACTATTACTTATCTGTCACAACTGGGAACCTAAATAATCTACATAAATTTTGGAAAGTATTTGTCAACCTAATTTCTCATGCTTTTCCTTGAAGACTCTGTCCCAGTTCATGACACATTTGAGGTTTTAAACTGTTTTAACAAGCACTTTATTTCATCTGTTTCAGTGTCTATTTCTACTGGAACACCCCCTGTGTCCCACTGCATCGATTCCCAAACAACTCTTGGTGCCTCTTTTAACTTTGTTCCTTGCAAGTACATAAAATTATTGGAACTCTGGATCCCAGGAAACCCTCTGGTTCTGACATGATGGAACTATATTTTTTGAAAATAGCTGCTGATTTGATAGCAGAGCCTCTTAAAGATCTTTTTAACCTTTCTATTAAAACAAACATATACCATCAGTTTGAAAGTCTGCTTTTGTGTCTCCTTTACTAAGAGGTGGTGACCCGGCTCTGTGAACAAATTACAGACTAATATTTAATCTGTGTGTCCTGGCAAACCTAGAAAGTAAACAATTGAAAGACTTCTTATATTCAAACAACCTTCTCTCAAGTCTGCAATCAGGTTTCAGAAAAAAAAGGGGGGGGGGCATGATGCTTAGCCTGGCGGGTGGCCAAGCAAAGCCTGGCAGGCCGCCAGGCTTATAGAGCACTGGGGGAAACCCTGCAGCCACACACACAAGCTTCTATGGTTACATTGTGATTTCTTAGTGAATATTCTATTTGGTGAGACATAAACTTTATTGTATTTATCCTAGTGAATTTATAATTGAGTGGGTAAACTAGTAGTAGCACATTCAATGTCAAAGAAAGTAAATTGTTATTATCAGGAGAGGAAGAATGTTTAAGTGGTCAGCAGCAAGCCTCATATAGATGATCTTGTGAAGAAGCTCAAACTCAGACTAAGTTTATCTAAATAAACAGTTTTACTTTTGAGGCAATAAAATGACTAGTCTCTGCAACATTTGATGTCTTCTTATGGAGACCTTTTGTATATGAATGCCTCAGCACAGTGTCTTAAGGTTGATGTGGTTTATCATGACTTGTTGAGGTTTATACTAACTGTAGACCACTGACCCATCATTGTGAATTGTATTCTCAAGTGGATTTGCCTTCTTTGGCCACCAGGAGGTTGGGACATTGATGCACTTTCATTTATAAGGTCATGCATGGATTATTACCCAAGTGTAACTTAATCTCATGGAGAAGTGTAACTTCTCACAGTCTGCATGCAAACGTTGTGTTCCGTCACACCAAACGGGGCAAAGGGGCTTTCGTTCACTCATCTCCTTCTGCATGAAACAGGCTTCAGGAAACCGAGTTTTTCTCCTTCAATACATTTAAAACCAGACTGAGAGCCCTTGAGACGGATTCCCTGTGTTGTGACTGCCTTCTGCAATTTTGTACATAAGATGTCTGTATTACTGAAAGAATTTTTAACGGTAACTTTTGCTGCCTCTTGGCCAGGACTCCGTTGAAAATTAGGTTTTTAATCTCAATGAGACCTTCCTGGTTAAATAAAGAATAAATTAAATAAAATAAAATAAAATATTTCTCAATTTATTAGTTAGTTTGTTTAATGTTTAAATAAACTTTTAATTTATTTGCTGGCAACAGACTCTAGGAAAATGTTGATTTGTAAAAACTGAACTTCATAAATTTATCTTCATTGTGTTAAACAAGATTAAATCAACAAGCTAAAGCAAAACCAGTCACCAGAGCTACATCATTACAAACATATCAGATCATACGCCCTCTGGCAGCAACAAGGGGAAAATATCTACTGTGGACTTTTGCTCTTAAGAAATTCCATTAAGTTATTCATTGGTAATATCAAATAAATATATTTAGTTACAAAACTTGACTAGCATAAGTTTAAAATTTACAACACATCAGATATAAAACTATTAGTTATTATTTTATGCCTTTAATAATACATTTAATTCTTTTTTAGAATGTTTTGAAGTGACACTGGATTTTTAACACGGAAAAAAGCATATGGATAATTCAATACTTAAAACTAAGATCAAGAATAAGTTACTGAAAACTGGAGTTGAATCACAAAAATCAAAGACACTTTCTGACTGCACACATTTTTGAGCTTCTTCCCCTTAATTACCACCAGGTGGTACACACAATATTCATAAATACAGTAAGTTATAGTAAAACATGTTTTAGCAGGCAGGCAGGCATGTGCTAATGTAAATGATTATGAGTAAAATACACAAAATATTATGGAGAATCTGAGTAATTTATAAAATGTGATTCCCACATAAAATATCTTTTGAAAAGAGGAACTTATAGCTGGATTAAAACTTTAAGATCTGCCTCCTTCCCTCACTCAGACAAAAAGAAAACAACACCCCAAGATATCTAAAGAGTAGACAGTCCACCCTTTATGATCATAAAACGGTGAACTCTACGTTCTAATGATGGTCAGATATTTGAAATATGATAAACAAACTTGGCCTCTCTCCTTCAACTGCTGTTCCACATGGGATGATGCAAATTCTCCCTGAAGCTTTGGGTTGAACTTGTTACTGGTGTAAAGTTGACAGGCCACAGAGCCGTTTATGAAACATTATCCAAACACCGTGCTCTTTCACCCGTACACCACAGAACGTTGCTAAACAATGGCTGATGTATGAAGTCAGCCATGGGCGCTCACGCCTCTCAAACCTTTGTCTAACTAAGGGCAGAGCTTACGGAGTTTCAAGGACACGAGGCCAAAATGACTGACGACGGCACTGCGTTCTTTCAAAAACACTTTATTTGCTTTCTGTTATTGCTAAAAGATACAGAACAAGTTTGCTTCCAAACAAACCTTCAGATAGAAAACAGTACGCAAAGGTCTATGAAGCTTTAGCAAAGAGAACATCATCTAATTTCCCTCTGGGATTAATAAAGTATTTTTCAATTGAATTGGATTGAATGGCAATAAGGCACAAACTAGTTCAAACAGTAACACCTAAAGTAAGGCATGTTATGCTCCACAGACACAAAGTGTTCATGCTCTGATGTTAAGCGTAAAATGCAGCAGAAAGAAGGCACGGCAGGTGATCTGAGTGGAGCAGAAACCGGGGCGATCTCTACCTCCAGCCCGTTGAATTCCAACAGCAGGTAAATGATTGTCGGACACGCAGAGTTACGACACCACTGGCTCCAAGTGCCAGGGTCGTAACACCTCACTGAGTCTGCTTTCATTCACGCTGAAACTGCAAAAATGTAGCTGAACACGAAGGTTCTTCATGTTCCCACTTAAAACACCAAGTATGTTACGTTCCAGATAACAAAGTCTTAATAAACGCTAAAGGCTGAAAACTACAGAACACTTTGGTCCAAAAAAAAGACATAAAATATTGTTTTTCTACTTTTATCCCTAAACAAGATGTAAATAAGAAAGGAAATATGTTTTCTGAATATATTATACCTTTTCTTTTTTACTTCATACATAACAACTGTAATGCATATATTAAATATATCTCCTGACTTCCTGCCATCGTAATAAAAGCAGATAACAGCAGTTAGTTCTCTACATAATAATCCAGTTTAGACTGAGACAACATGGAGTGAGATTAGACATTCAGACAAATATGGACCGTTACACTTCCCATTTCAACTCTCGGAGCAATAACTTAGTCTCTCAAAATACAGAAATTCAGATTCATGATGTCACAACAGTCTCACAAGCTTAAAAATGACAAACTGGACGAGGATTGGGTTTGAACAAAAGGTTCTTTTTAAATCGTTTTCTATTTGTGAAACTGAGAGCTTGTCAGCAGCAACATGAAGTATTTTAGGGTTTCACTGCACAGAGGACGTTGTATGGCTACTTGCATATTTCACATTGAGGTATTGCTAAAGTTTTACACTTCTCGTCATCACAACGTCGTTTTACAAGTGCCAACAAATGATTCTGAGGCATTTTTTAAATTATCTTCTGCTCTGTTTGAATAGAAATAACAAGTTCACTCGCAAAGCAGTGGAAAACACTCCGCGTCCACCCATGAGATCATGCTCTTTGTTGAAAATGTCTTCATGTGAAAAGTGGCCGTCTCCTTCCACTCGTAAGTAAGTGCACATCAGTTGAGCACAGTTTGGGGGACAAAAACTAAAAAGATTGGAGTGTTACTGAAGGAGATTTCAGAAGACAGACCCCAGACGTTTGGATTTGCTTCTGTGATGCAACAGGAATAAAAATACAGCTTGTTACAGAAAACGAAAGGAAAAGATTCAGATTATGTGCACAGATCTGAGTTCTCCACCATCTTTAAAAGGCACAAAGCACGTAAGGCACTGTAGTCGAGCACAGAGTCTTCATGCTGGGAACTTGGAGGTGTTTAGGTTGCGGAGCAACTCGTTTCTTACAGAGCAATGAAGAAAGAAAACAGTTTCTATGTTTTGTTCACCTTAAAATAGTTGAGCAATTCAAATACAATAAAAATATACAAAACCTTGAAAAAACAAACATTTATTCAGTCTTATCCCCCTATCAGCACATGTTCTAAAGATGGGAAACATCAAAATGCAATGTTTCAAAAGGCCTCCCAGTTTGTTTTAGTTTTTATTTAAGGTTTTTTTCTTCTCTTATTTGTCCTCAAAGGAAATCTGTCACCTTGGAGATTTCAGAGAACGGCCAAAAAGAATCAGGAAACGAGTTTTAGGAACTATTCACACCCACGACACCTAAAGCCTTCACTTAAAACAGCCAAAACAAGACGAAAGTACCAAACGGCAGTTTTCAAAGCAAACACATTTAACCAGCATGGACGGACAGCATCACCCACAGCGTGTAAAACTACAATACTATGTATTAATAATAATAATATTAATGATAAAACATGACAAGACAAAGTTAGTATAACCAAAGACACTGGGATCCTCATTTATCAGTAGCTCCTGCTTATCTTTTCATCCTTCTAATTTACTTCTTGTTTTCAGTTTTTACAAAGCTAGTGTAAAGAACTACACCACAAAATAGAAAAAAAAACACAAAGGATAAAGCCTTAATGATGAGTATTCTTTTCATAAATATTGAAAAAGTACCTAATTTGTTCCTGCTGCCAGAGCAACAAAGTGGCTGGGTGTTTCGAGTGTCGTCTTGGTTGTTGTTGCATTCTGGGGGATATTTGACGTGGTTTATTCAGAAGAGGTGAGTGACGCTGTCTAGTTGGGCTGGTCCAGGATCTACTGAGGAGAACAATGATGGATAGAGGCCAAGTTGTCAATGCATCGTTGCCTGTGGTCTAAATTTTTGCTACAGAGTTTGAGAGCTCAAGTTGACAAGATTTTTCTTCATGGAGGGTCGTAGACTGCTCAGATTCAGTCAACGGACGCTTTGTTCTGAGCCTCAGTATGTCTGGTAGACGTCGTGGATGGGCAGCTGGAAGGCTGCGGTGGGGAAAGCCTGTGGCATGGCGTAGCCGGCGTAACCTCCATACGCTGCAGCCGCCACGGCCGCGTTCTTCTGCAGAGCGGCCAGAGCAGCCGTGTTGGCAGTGTAGTTTGTGATGGGGACATACCCGGCGCTATAAAGGCCGCTGGCTGCTGGGATGCGCTGAACGCTGTGGGCCATGGCATAGACAGGAGTGATCGGACGGCCCTGGGAAACGATGGAGAACAAGAGAGTATTTAGAGAAGGAAGTTCTGTCTGAAACACCTTTTATCAGGTACATATGTCCTATTGTTTTTCACATCTGTCAGTCACATGGCAGCAGTTAATGTGGTGAAATCTAGACAAACCGCAGCAGTAGAGGAAGGTGTCGCCCTGCAGGTCGGACTAGCCATGCTCCATTGGAGCCTCAGCAGGGACCAAACAATTGTAGGCTGGGCCAATCACAGCGCTCTGTTGGTGCTTACACATTAGGGTCAGCAAGGTCGGGTACCACACCAAAATTTGGTTTCACACCTGGATCAGATATTTGTTTTCCATTCTGAGGTGAATCTTTTCTTCAGACCTCTTCCTCGAAGATCCAACTGGGACCAAAGTGACACTATTGACTGATTGGCCGGCCAAAATTCATGCCTACCACCTCCGATTGTCGAGTAGAATCAGCCAACGAGAAGTTCCCGCATCATGCGCGATTAATTTTCATGTTGGATGCTGTTGAGTGAACATCTCTGTCTGTAGCATGGAGCTATCTTCCCCCGACCACACTGACCCTAATGTTTTAAGCAGCATATGTTTGTAGAGCACTGTTGGGCTGGCTTAGCACCAGAGATACGATTGGAGAAAAGCTACAAAGATGGAGTTGGTTCTGGAACGGCATTTGTTTGAAACAGTTTTGGCATCAACTTGGGACGATTTAGACTTGAGCATTTCTTGAGATATGTGGAGACAGAGGTACTAAAAGCTGCAATCCAGAGTTTTTCCTTTTCAGGAATTGTGTATGATGTTTTAGAAATCCGTAATAATTATTGTCTTATCATGTACTGTGATTTAATGCAGGCAATACATCTTGTTTTTTCCCCTAAGCCCCCCGGTCCCATAGAGCTCTGCAATATGAACTGAGCGCCGGTCAGCACTAACCAATAGTGTTAGACTACTGTTTACAGATGTTAATCATGGAGCGTGCATGAGGATGTACCTCAAATGTACCTTTCTCATGGACAAGTAAGTCTTTAAAAGATAAATATATGTTTACAAAACATCAAATGAGCATAATTATTGTAAAACTATGTGTTTTAGCTCTGTTTATCGGCCAGAAGAGCGCATCCAGGAATGAAAGGCATTTTCAACGGCATTTGGCAAGGGGATCTTACAGCCTCATCCCAAGTGCCGGTGCCCACTTCCAATTTTAATCTGTACTTAGACACAGAGGGCTGTGGGAAGAAGAGGGGTGGTGTGGTGGCATCAGCTGGCGTAGGCCAGACGATGCCTGCACTGCCCGCTCAACACAGCCACGAATACACCTCATCAACACGCACCAACACCGTTTGGGGCAGACGGAGGGAGACTAGGGGTCTTAGCACACCTCTGTTGTCGCTTGGCTTCCTGGGGCTGGAGGCTAGGAGGGGGATCTGGCCGTCTGGATGGGGTCTGGGTGGTGGGTCACTTTGCTCGGCATTGGGCAGGGTAGCCTGTTCATCAACACCCCAGCAGAAAGGGTCGAATTCTGGGAACCGGTAATGTTTGTACCCTTTGTGCAGCAGTACCACGACCAGAGTGAATAGGGTGTGTATGGGGAGCATGAGTGGGTGTCTGGCATGCATTTTTGTAAGTCTTTGGTTGTATGTGAATGTGAGAGCATGAGAAAGGGAGTGTGTGACTGTGTTTGTGTATGACTGTATATGTCAGGTGGGGCCTTTGACTCCTCCCCTCTCCTGGGACTTCTTTTGCTGCTGTTGACCCTTTGCACGTGACGCCACGCCACGCCACTCATGTGACAGCCCCCTTCGCCATGATGGACGGAGAAAAGACCGTTTACACCTGTAGAAACTCCAGTGAAGGTAGTCAAAACAAGCCAGTTTGTAGTCTTTTATCACTTTTATTTAGTTGATTTGACAGTAAAATGGTTTTAGCTTGCTGCGTGGTCGGCACTAAGAGACAAGGACGTAAACTCAACTCGTTTTTTCTTTTTAATAACTTTGATGGAGACTGAGGATGGAGATGAACTGCAGTGATCAATCAATCAAGCGGACTAGCAGGCCTCAGATTTGCAGCGAACATGTTTTTACCGGGTAAGATTAATGTTAATTTATTTCACGAGGAAGACAGGGACAGGGATATATGTGATGTGTTTATACAAGTTATTTATAATCCTGATGGACGGGTATTTAACCACGGAGGATGTGCTCGCCACTGTAGTGTAAAGCGAGACAATTATTAACAATATTAAAGCTCTGATGTATGATTACGTGTGTTAAAATGACGTTATTTATTTATATGAGCATCGGCGTTCAGAGACCTTCTCATTCCGGTGTGAGAGCAGCAGCTGAACCCGGTAACACCACCAGCAACAGAAGCTGGTAGGGATCCGGACTCTTTAAAAATCAGCTTTGGTGTAAAGTGAAATGCTGTTTACAACATAAAGTTATAAATCCAGAGGGGTCAATTTAGGCAAAGCCAGCAACATGTTTACATCGGTGAACAGCTGCAGAGAGAACGTAAGCTAACGTTGGGACGCTAGTAGCACACCGCTCTCTATGAGTCCCCGCTAGATGCGCTACTTCTTCTGATAACTGAACTGGGCATGAACTAGTGGAAGGAATGCTGGAGGAGTTTTGTTTTTGTTTTTATCGCAAAAACAGTTTCAGGCTCTACTTATCCCTTTGTTTAGTAACCGTGTCGCTCACTGTTTACATGCTTTTGCCGTCCAGCATGGTGGACCCACATGATTAGGTGACGTCGTTGCAAAGGGTCAATACATCTTCGCCTCCCCTCCCCCGTCATACCTGGTGTGGAGTGCTGTGCCTTGGTCTGCCTGAGTGTGTGCGGCTCCCGGGTCAGGGGGTTTAAGGTTTTTAGCATCTGCCTGATCAATCCCGGTGGCTGCCTGGTGGGATCTGGGTCCCCGGCGGGGGTGGTCACCCCTGGGTCCCGGGGCGCTGGGTTCCGGGCTCGGCCGGATTGGGGGTGGGAGGCTGCAGGCGGGCCTGTGGGCTTGCCACTGATATCCCCCGGGATTCTGCAGGCTGCTGGTTGTGGCCCCCAGGGGCGATCCTCTGCGCCTCTCGAGGCGCTTTTCTGGTCGCAGTCTCCCTGGGGTCCCTGCGCTCTGGGGCAGCTCCTGAATCTCTGAGACTTGGAGCTCCCTCCATCTCCTACACATCTTTGGGGGGCAGATCTGTGGCCCCTCACACTCTCTATTGGACGCTCCTATAAAGAAACCTTACATATAAAAGCACATGAACGCACACAGGTGCTCACATGGTGCTCTCATAAGTACGGACTTGGAAACGTTCAACACATGTCGGCTGTGGTCGGCACTTGATGCACTGTGATTTCATGTCGTGATTGTTCGGAAAAACAATGTTTCAATATTTCCTCATCAGGTTGACGCAGTGATAGCTTGCTCCTGTTGTATTGCTGTGTGTCCCTTTCCTTTTTCTTTTTTTCTCTCTCCTTCTGCAGGTCTAGAAGCAGACTCTTGCTCATCATTGACTGTTTGTTTTTTTGGACCCCCCTCTTTTGTCTCTTCCTTTCTCTTTCACCTCTGTCTCCATGTCCGGTCAGAATTACAAGCATTCAAAAAACAATAACAATAAAGTTTTAAGTATCAGGCGTGACATTAAAAGCAGACGCTTTGATGCTCCACCTGAGAGTAAATCTGTAAGGCTTGTCACCTGCATTCAGACATTAATTCTGTTTGCTTCACAGCCAGACAGGACACGAAAAAAAATAAAAAGGAATGAAAGTTGTTACTTTTGACCATAAATACGAAAGTGATAACCACGGCTTAGTGCGATAAATTTGTCAGCCACTAGATGGTGCAATCAGACAAAAAAAATCATTCAGATGTCATCTTTACGTTGTTTTTTTCGATAAAGGGTGTATTTGCTTCTTCTTCTTCTTTGACGGTGCATTGCTGATTGCCCCATCAACTGATTTCCGCAGTGATGAATATGTCATGTTTGTTGCTCTGATTGGTCCTAGCGCTGTCCAATTGGATGAGGAGACAGTTTGAAAGACAACCTTAGGGTTGTGGCCTGACTATATTTAATTACCAGGCTGGTGAAAAACCTCCTGGAGTTTAAAAAGCGCATCAAAATGGGGAAGAAGGTGAATTTAAGTGACTTTGAATGTGGTTTGGTAGTTGGCGCCAGACTGACTGCTCCGAGTACGTCAGAAACTTTCCGAAACCAGTTCAGCACCTTTGAGATGTGGCTGAATGAGAGATTCACATCAAGTATGTACCCATCTGATGCCATCATATCATATCACAGAATCCCTGAGAAACATTTCCAACACTTTGGTGAATCAGGTAACATGTATGAAAGCCAAATGCACTCTTCCCTTGTACTAGCAGTGTACCTATGGCTGTTTTGTTATCAAACTCACCTGGAAGGGCGGAGGGGTGGACACAGCAGGCAGGACGGTGGCAGCAGCAGCAGTGGCAGTGTTGTGTTCAGGGTGCTGCATGGCAAGCGGGTTAATGAGGTGCTCCACCGCGTGCACCTTCCCCTCCTCTATCAGCTTGGCTGCAGGAGCAGCGCTGAACACTGGGTACTGTGCACCCAGCGTTGGCAGCGCCACTGTACACACAGAGAGACGCAAAAAGATGAAGGCTTGGATGATAAGGCTCCAAACAAGGGTGTAGAAGAAGAAGACACTTGCACGCAGACATGCTCAAACATTCACACAGTCATGCTTAAATCTGAAGGGAGTGTGGGGGAAAAAAAGTAGGATGTACAAAAAGATCAAAAGGTGAGAAGGAGACGGTTGAGCTAAGGTGAGTGGCACACACACACACACACACACACACACACACACACACACACACACACACACACACACACACACACACACATGCCACATTGCAAATGGAGGCATTGTTTCAGATACACAGCCACTCTTTCCAAATCTAGCGGTGATCCTGGGATTCCACTCAGATTAGGACTACAGGATTGAACTCCAGATTAGGGTCAGTTTCAGCATCTACATTTCAAAACTGACCTGTGACCAAATAGATGATGTAAGATTGGTTTTGCAACATCATTCAGGATTGAAAATAATGCCAGTGTTTGGATTTTAAAACTTTTGAGGGAGAAGTAATATCTCTTTCCATTATTAAAAAAAGAAAATGTACAAATGGATCAACAAATGCATGAAACTGATCAGTAATCTGCGGTTCTGATCAGTCTGGTCTCAACAGAGAACGGGTAACACCACATTCTAAATAAGGAACAGTTGTTTGAACATCTTTGGTTCGTGCATTCTGTGTTGATTTTCTAATGCCTTTGTTTTTGGTTGTTTTCTTCACCATAAAGAACCAAAACAATGGAAGTAACTGTTGTGCAATCGTTGCTCATTGCTTCATAGCCTTCTCATAACGACCCCTGAATGCTTTTGCTGTTGCAGTGTGAGTATTCTTTGAGATCCAGATGAGTTTGGGAGCAGATCCATGCCTCAACCACGGCCTACTGTCAACCCACCTGTGCACCTCCTCACCTCCCTGAATCTCTTCAGGGTTGTCTCTTCACCCCTCTTCATACTGCCCTGTGCCCTGGCATCTTTTCTTCCCTCATTTTGTTTTCATCTCTCCTCATCCTCATCTTTGTCCCCTTTACCTTGCTCTCATTTCCTGTCCAATCCTTCTCATTTCAGGTTCCATTTAGGGGGGTGGGCTGGGGGTCCTAAGCGGGCTTTGGTAAAAAAAAAAAAAAGTTATTTCCTGAAGATGGTACCCCCCACGATGACTCCTCTCCTCTCCTTATCCCTCCCACCCGCCTCTCAGAAATAACCATTTAAGCTCACATTGTTGCTAATGAACTGTAGCCATGAACCTCTGACCATCAGCATTATGATAGGAACTGCTGACCTAATGGCCAGATTGATACAACTCTTTCATATTTGTGTTCATGTTTATTCATTTAGCAGACACTTTTATCCAAAGCGACTTACAATTTATAACCTATAGGGCGTGTTGTGATCTGTGGGAGAAACCGGAGTACCCGGAGGAAACCCACGCATGCATGGGGAGAACACGCAACTCCACGTAGAAAGGCCGCAGTCGAGTTTCGAACCTGCAACCTTCGTGCTGCGAGGCAACAGTGCTAACCACTGCGCCACCATGCATATGTATGTTTTTTTTTTACCAAGCCAGTTCTCCATGCATTTGAATGTCTGAGTCATGAGAATCTGAAACTGCATCTGGGACATGTCTGACCTCTGGTGGCTGTGACAGAAAATGCAAGTGAAGTTCTAAAATAGCATCACGAATCTGATGATGAATCAAAAATAACTATAACTAAATAGGTTTTATAAACATAAACAAATAGTGTCATTGCATAAACTTAACATAACTCGGTTAAATAAATAAATTAAACAGTTAAAAAGTGATTTTTCAGTCATTTTTAAGTGTTTCTGTGTAGATTTAAAAATAAGAAGTTGTAAATTATATAATTTATAATAATTTAAAAAGAAGAAAAAAAATAAAAACAGTTGTCTGTTGCTGATAACTTCCTGAGCAGCCTCAGTTTGGAGAAATGGTGTTATATCCTACAGAACTAATGAGCTTTGTGTTCCATGTACAGGTACATACTACTGGCTAACATCTAAGGCTGGGCCGACACTGTGCAACATTTTGACTTGTTTGAGCTGATTTTCCCCTCATGCAATAACCTTTGAGATCATTTTGATTCGTGCCTCGTGTAGTATACGGGGTTAACGAGAGGCGATTTAACACTCACAACCAGCTCCCGATCAGCAATCGTGCGCTCGTACAAATTTCAGGTGTGTTTGATATTTTGCTCGGTCCTTGTGAGTCGGGAGGGTCTTGCGTCATTGAAGCCACAGTGCTGCAACCCAAAAGTATCAGAACCGCCCACACGGCGCATGCGTCAACACGGCCAGCTAGCCATTTTCCTATTAAAGTTTTCTAAAAAAATTTTTATACTCTTTCCTTTGCACACAATGACAAGGATTGTCAAGAAAGCTTGTTTGCCGTGTTTATGTCAAACTAAACGATCTCAAAACATTGACTGACTGACTTTCTTTCGTCTTCTTCCTCCAACCTCCATAAATCCCCGTGTCCTCCCACAGCAGCCCAGAGGCACAGCAGGCATCAGTAACAGCACAATGAAAAGTCCAGTGTTAAAATTGCTATTTGTAGCATACTTTTAGGTCCGACGTGTTGCTACCAGACGTACAGTGTGAGCAGCCAGATCAGATCCGAGAAGTTGGTTGTACAGTTTATAAAAGTCGAGGTTTGGAATGATATTCCTTTATCCGAACATAGTATTGACAGTCCGGACACTTTTAAAAAACAGCTAAAGATCCTTTTATTTAAAGCTGCTTATACCTAAATCTTGTTTTTACTCAAATTTGTAATCATCTTTGATTTGTTTTATGGTATTTTATAATTTTATGACTTAGTTTTTCTGATTTTAATTTATTCCTGTTTTAAGATCATTATGATTTAATGTTTTGTTTGGTTTTGATCTATGTGAAGCACTCTGTAATTTTCTGTCTGTGACGAGTGCTACATAAATAAAACGTACTTACAGTGTGAGAACATGACTCGTGAGATTTGCTGTGCGAGGAAGTCGTACAATTTGAGATGGAGCTATGAGTAAAAAGTCACACAGTTTATGTCCACCTTAATGTAGTATGTAAAAAATTTGTTGATCTGTGTCTAATTCCACATTTTTTACAAAAAAATTAAACAACTTTGGGTCTTTGTGGTCCAACTGCAACTTCTTCACCACAGACATGGCTACAATAATTTCTACTGATTTATTTTTTTATGTCTGCTTCATTTTTCTCCGGACATTAGCCTACATCATGCAGCCATGTTCCCCGTGCTTCCTTGCAGAGGGGATGGTGGAAAAATCTATCCAATTTCAACATCACAACTTCCATCATGTCACAAACTCATCCTGCTGACCACTCCCCATGGACCAAACCGGCGGGCTACTACACTTCCCAGCATTCCCATCACCAGCGTGGCTTGTCGACGTCATCACGCCGACACTATTTACGGAAGCACCGCCGCTCATTCATCACTCAGTCATCGTTCCTACCAGACATTGAACCGAGTTCTCAGGCTTACCAGCCCTCAAACCAGGAAAGGGATCTTTCCACGCTGTCTACTACCAGTAAGTCAGCTTCCTTATCTATTCGGAACTGCTGCTCGGTCTCGGCTTTCTCCGAGCGCTGCGCCGCCGTTCCCAGAACAAAGCCGCGTGCTCTGTTTAACCCAATGCTAGCCACTCTGCGCCTGGGTCACGCAGTTATGCTACAAACAACCTCTGCTACGCTTCAGCTCAGCCACTCGAACCTGACACATCAGGTGCTTTGTTGATCCAGCTGTCACTTTAAATTGGTTTACTTGTGTTCATAGACTGGCATTATCTTTTAGATCATCAGAATTATATTAGAAAAGATAATCATTAGTCAGTGTTAGTTTTGCGTTGCAGCTCCGTTCTCGACTAATCTTTAAAATAAACTGCGATAAATACATATAAAATAAGTATTATAAATACAATTCAATAAAACATTTAAAGAAACATCACACAGGGAATATAAATCATAATTTTCTGAAAGATTATTACATTTTTAAACACTTTTATCATTTTAAAAGTCAAAACTGGAGCTGCTGGGATGTGTGACATGTTAGTGAGAGCGTTAGTACCACCCCATTCAGACGTGCAACACAGTGCTGTGTGGAAACAACAGATTTCATTTGTGCAGGGATCCTGCATTGGAAACAGCCGGATGTAAATAAGCTTTTGTTGTTTATTTTGATGTGGTATAAAAAACAGCAATTTATTGCCATAATGATTTAAATGATGGACCGCCCCAAAACCAATGAATGTATTGATTTTTTTTCTTATTTATTCTTTAAAATCAATTAAAGAAGATGGTAACCAATGCAGTTCCTTGTGTTCCTTCAACACAGCACTTATTTCAGTCTGAACACCAGACAAGATGAATTTTTGGATGAGGAAAACTGACAGAATAAAGAGTGAAAAGAAGCCGTTCCTTTCTGGTCATGATTGGGAGGGCGGACATTTGGTGTCATCGATTTTGGACTCTAAATCAGACAGAAGACGTGCTTTCGCTCATGACCATCCAGCAACAGCTATTTATAAACCAAACCACACAGGAAAGAGGTTTAGTAAAGACTTCGGAGATGGGCAAAGGACATAGACGAATACGCCCGTCTCACTGACTTGTGCCAGGTTTTATGCCAACTGCGTTGACGGAGGCAGCAATTTCCAGACTGGGCATCAGTTCATAGGGCTTTTCGGGCTGTTTGGTCTTGCCCTCATGGTAGCGACTGTAGATGCCACGACCGGCAGAGTAACCCCCGAGGTACGACCCCCGAGGTCCAGGGGTGCGATTACCTGAAGCAGCTCGGCCACGACCTCTCACAGTACCTGCTTAAAATACAATTAAAGGGTTTGTGGTTGAGGACTTTGATTGGGCGACAAGGTATTGAGTTTGGAAGTCCGTCTACAGCTATATGTCTGCTGAGTCTTTTCTCAAGGTTTAAGCAATACAAATTTGCTCAGGAAAGCTTTTGGGTGACGCTTAACTTCAATCCTGAGCATTTATCTGAATCTTGAAATGAAATGGACTGTAACATGTTGTTTTCTAGCTCTGTAAAATGGTACTAATAGGGAGTTTGGTGAGAACCCTGCAATAACCCATCATGAAATGTGAAGTAGCATCACAGCAGGAAAAGGATGGTGTTAGAAAATTTTGTCACATGGTAAGAAAGTTCATTGTTCATTGAAAGAAATGAGTAGAAATGTGGATGTGAGAGATTACCATTGTTCTGTATCATTGGGGATCCTTTGGAGAGAAAACCAAAACACAATGATTGTTGATAGTCAAAAAGATTTTCCTGCTCCCATCCAAGACCACATTGAATCAATCATTTAAGACAATGGGATTAGCATTCATTGGTCCATCAAATTTTCCTTTGTCTTTGACTTTTAAAAAGACGACGCTGATTTAAAGCCACAAGTACTCATCAAGCTAAATATTTTTCTAAATATTTGTCACAAAAGCTGAAATCAGAAATATTTTCATCATCATGATCATTAATAAATCATAGTTTGGACTTTTATGTGTGCGTTAGTCCAATGAGTTTCTGCGTCAACCAACATCCCAAAAAACAACAAAATAAAACCAAATCTAACCTTTCACAAAGTAGTCCCTGTTGGGCCCAATAAGCGTGTTGTAAGGATAGCCATAGTAGGCCAATGTGTATGGGTCACACTGGTAGATGTAGCTCTGCTGGGTGGCTTCAGGGGTGGCAGAAACCCCCCCTTTGGAGGCCTTCTGGCGTGAGTACTGCTCTTTGTCAACCGGTTTGGCAAGCGTCACTTCAATGCAGGACCCTTCGATCTCTGTGCCGTTCAAGTGATCCATTGCCAGCACAGCATCGTCTCGAGACGAAAAGTGCACGAAAGCATAGTCGCGGATTTTCTTCACACGCTCCACACAGCCGGGGTTCCACTGGGTGAAGATCTGTTGAACCAAGAAAAAGAGATTGATGTCATCGGATTGGTCAGTGAAGAAAGAATGAGGTCACGTTGTGATGTTCTAACGGTATGCAAACCGCACCTTTCTAATCGTCTCCTCGCTGGTCTCCATCATTAGGTTTCTAACGTAAAGGATCTTCACAGTTTCCATGACATCTTCATCTACATCTATCTCTGGCTCCGCCCAATCCACTGCAATCTGATGACCCCAAAGCTGGATTCGCCCGGGCATCAACTTCCTGCGAGCCATTGCAGCTGCGCGATGTGATTCATACTCCACGAAGGCAAAGCCACGGTTCTTCATCTTGTCTGCAGCACTAGCATAAACTATCACATCTAATACACCTTCTGTCACCTTAGAAACCTCTTCCAGGATCTCCTCACGCTTCTTGGTTTTGGGAATGCCACCTATGAAGAGACGGCAGTTGTCCACGGAGGAGCAGACCCCCAGCAGCCGCCCAGGTCGCACCTCGTAGTTATTGAGCTCCCTCACGGCCCTCTTGGCTTCGTGTTTTTCTGTGTACATCACAAACGCGTATCCTCGGTTTTTCCCGTCAAAGTCCATCATCAGACGCATCTCATAGATGCGGCCAACAGACTCAAACACTGGAACCAGTTCATCTTCATAAACATCTCGTGGGATCTTGCCAACAAAGATTTCACAGCCTCGAAGAGGAGCTGGACCACTCCAACCAGGAGGGGGCCCATATTTGCGCTGACCGTTCTCCTGTACCATACTGTAGCCAGTGCGCTCCATCAAGTTCATGAGCGCAGACTCATTAGGAGCACCTGCGATTCCCTCTGGGACATTACTCTGTCCTTGGAGGGGATGGTGGGAGGCGCCGAAGGACTTGGAGGGTTTGGAGGGGGTAGAGTTGTTGCTCATGGTCAAGGAGGAAGCAGGGTCTTCGGCTGTCATAATGACTAAACCATCCAATCAGTTCTGGGTCCTGAAGACGAAAACAAAAACAAATGTATCAAATGGTGTTAAACTTCTGTAATGCTGAAGAGAGAGAGAGGACAAAATGGTAAAAACAAGAAAGAGATCAGAAGAACATATTTCAATTATAAAGGTCAATTGGAGGTGTTACAAAATGATTAACAGAGCACAAACCTGTTAGATTATCTATCAAACTGGCCAGGACACAAAATGTGACCTGAACACACAAATGGAATAGCATCCATAAATCCTTAGGGCACCTTTTCCCCTATCAGCACTTTTACAACCTTGTTTTGTTGAGTCCCTCAGATCCTTCGCTGACCTCTGACCCCTATCAGTGAGACTGAAGGGCTGTAAACCCTGAAAACTCTGGCTCAAGGTTCATTGAGTATGGCTTGGTCACATGTTCTGTGTGTGTGTGTGTGTGTGTGTGTGTGTGTGTGTGTGTGTGTGTGTGTGCGTGCGTGCGTGCGTGCGTGCGTGCGTGCGTGCGTGTGTTTGTGTGTGTGTGTGTGTGTGTGTGCGTGCATGCGTGCGTGCGTGCGTGCGTGTGTTTGTGTGTGTGTGTGTGTGTGTGTGTACCTGTGTGAGAGAGAGAGAAAGAAAGATACAGAGAAAAAGAGAGAGAGAGGGAGAGGTGCATTTATATGAGTAACTTAGTGAAACATGGCCCCACACCGTTACAAAGATGTGTGCACTATAATGTCTTGTACATATTAACCTGCTGCACACACACACACACACACACACACACACACACACACACACACACACACGCACACACACACACACAAATATTATATGTGCATACTGGACTTTAAACCCTCTTATCTATATGAATGTGATACAACATGTGGGTGTATCTCTCTCTCTCTCTCTCTCTCTCTCTCTCTCTCTCTCTCTCTCTCTCTCTCTTCATTAAGGGGCACAGCCCTTTCAGATCAACAGAGAACAACCAGAAATCGGCTTCCCAAATATAAACCTCTTATTTTATTTTCCAACACAGCCTGCATTCATATGAGAAAAATCCACAGCAGTTAAAATCCCAAAAGAATCTCCTCACAGCAGCCGGTTTAAGTCTGAACAGTAAATTATTCTCCTGTTAGAATATTTTTAAAAGAAAGGAGTTTACTGTTTTACTCGGGAGGGTATAATTGTAATCATCAGAAGGTTGGTTGGACTTTGACAGAGAAAGGAGATGCTGTCAACGGAGGTGAAACACTTCGAAGCCGAGCAACCATGGTAACATGCACACTCATTTGACCTGACCTAATATCCAACTCTCCCACTCTCACTCACACACACCTCCACACACACTCACACATGCACCTGTCCACTTGCAAGTTCCTCCAAAGTGGTGGGGCTCAGAGAAACTATGGAAACTTATAGAAATGAGAGTGTTGGGTCTGAAATCAGACAACAATTAGTTCATTTTAACCTTGAATAACTTTCTGTGCTGCATAACACCTCATCCTGGCAGTTTACATCTAAACACAAAGGTCAAAACTAGTTTGTGAGTTTTATTCTTCCTCTGCTTCCTGTTTGTTCCTCCTATCTTTAAACATAACTCAGCTTTACCATTCCAGAGCTATGTGCTTCTGTGCAGCTGAGATGCGTTGTAACTGTAGGTGGCACACACACCAAGACAAAAAAAAATAGACGTTTTTAGTGCCTCTGGAAACTTAACATGCAGCTTCGATTGGCCTGTTTTCTGTTTTGGACCATTTTGGAAATTCTTCTAACATCGTTGAACACAATTGAAGCAAGCACTAGACACATGGGAACAGTCAGTGCCGACATATCTGAGGAATACTGCTACAAATGAAAACTAAAATCAACACAACAAGAGGCAGTCGGAGGAGCAAAGATAAAGTGTAACGTAAAACCCATCGAGCATTCCTACAAGGGGAAAAGTGTTGACAATGTCAAAAGTTGTGTTCGTGCGAGTCTCTGTAGGTGAAAGAGTCGATGAGGAAACCTGACGTGCATCCAGGTAGATAATTAATCCTGATGAGAGCAAATCACAGATTTTCTGTGGGGGGGGTTACAGACGATCACAGCGGCAGAGCTCACCTGGTCAAAGGTTGTGAACTCAGATGAGCTAACAACTGAGGGAAGTTAGCGTTTCACTGGTTTCCATGGAGATGGATCCTTACCTGATGTTTATGATTGATAGAAGCACCTGATTCTCTGCATATTAACTTGTTATTGGAGACTAGATTGCTTTATGAGTGGGTGAGAAAGCTTTTATGGGCTTTCTTCAAGATCACACTCTTTTATTTAGGTGTTTACAAAAAAAAACAATCAACAGCATTCAAACGTGTTGCTCCACATCACAAAAAAGAGGAAGAAAATCCTGTTTGGTATGTCAGTGTCCTGACGATGAATCTAATCTGTAGATGAATGCTTTTCTATGAAGACTTTGTTGATTTGCAAACCAGCAAAGCTGCTCGAAGCGAATCAGAACAGAGATAATCTGAGCCTGTGCAAGAGTTTGAAACAATGCTTGGCTAGTTAGCTGTTATCCTGACTGACAGCAATTCAGGAGGAAAACACGTCTAAGGAAAGCTGTTTTTCACACACGTGGAGGCAACTGATTATCAGGGTTCACCCGGCAGCTGCTGACAGCAGTGTTACAAATCAGCAGAACGAAGCACTGGCGCTCCAACTGTCAGCCCCTATACTGGTGTGGTTACACAAAACACAAACCAACCGCAGACAGGAGACTTAACGACACACAAACCTCCTTCAAATCACTGACAAATTCATAATTGATGAAATAAACGGAACAGCGTCTGAGAGAGTTGCTGCTGAAGGTCAAAAGATCTCATGCACAGCAAAGACAAAGGCAGAAGGGGGAAGTGAGACTGGAACAGAGCAGAAATCTGGAGAAAAGATGTGTCACAGCAGATGGATGGCGGTGGAAAAAAGGGAAGAGGAAGCAGAAGCAGAGAGGATATCTACCCTCGTTGCTGCTCAGCGCTCCGCCGCCTGCTGCCTGCTCTGGGAGTGTTAGTCCACCTCCATGAGAGACAGGTACAGCAGGGCACAGAGTCCAGCCTCCCCTGCACCAACACACACATACACACACACACACACACACACACACACACACACACACACACACACACACACACACACACACACACACACACACACACACACACACACACACACACACACACACACACACCGAGCCGAAGTCAAACCATGAGAGCTGATGAGGGAGGAGCTAAAACAGGTACTTTTGTGCGTGTGTTGTTTTGTGGGTGGAGTTGGATTTTCAGAATGTTACCAGAAAGGATTTCTGCTTTTAGAAAATAGACACGGAAAAGATTGTTATGGGCAGAAAGGAATCACCAACACCCTTGTTTTCTGTTGCAAAAGTATATAAACCTGCCTTTAAGCTGCTTTGAAAGTAAAACTAAACATTGTTTTCATTTAGTCGCATCAGAATTTAAAAAAAATAATGAGGATCAACAAAGATGTAACTTCCTCCTTCCTTCTCTCGTGATTTATTTGGAGCCAGAGGACTGAGCGTCCTTTTTCTCCCGTTTTTTAATACAAACATATGTTTTGCAGAATTTGCTGCAGTTAATATAAACCTCTCCTGTAAACCTGCACATTTGATTTCTGTCTTTCCTTCTTAGCTGAATAAAAAAAAACATCAAGTTTTAAGGTGAACGTTCTTCTGCCGCTGATAAATACACACACCTTCCCAAAGCAGCTGCTGCACCCAGTTCTTATCCTTTTTCCCAGTAATGAGACGTAGCAGGTGACAGAGAGATGCATTGTGGGAAATGCAGTTTGTCCAGCTTAGAGTTGATTTCTGCTTAGAGATGCAGAAACGGGGAAAAGGGACAGGAAACTTTTCTAACAGGAGTTTGAAGACTTCCTCGTGTTTGTGTCACTGACAAAAGGACGTTAGGAAATTCTGACTGGGAGTAAGCACCAGAGTGAGTTATGTTGTGTCAGCACAAGACTCTGTGTGTGTGTGTGTGTGTGTGTGTGTGTGTGTGTGTGTGGTGGTGGGGGTTTGTACATAACAACGGTGAACGTGTTCCTCGCACAGCTTAACTTAAGCAAACAGCACACACCTTCCTGGGCAGTCAAGAGAGCAGATAGAGAGACGGGAAACAGACGAGTAAAGAGACGGGAGCTCACCACCATGTGACGAGTTTCTGTCTGAAATCTCCAAAAGCTAAAGGAGCGAGTTGGGAAAGACACGGAAATCTACAGTGGGAATAGTTCCAAAGGCCACTGAAACCAAAGCAAACATGAATAGAAACGTGATTAATGACTGAACAACAAATAGATCAAAGAGCAAACGATGGAGTTAAATAAGAAATGTGAAAGAAATTTTTTGACTTAATTCAATTTAAAACTGTCCTTGTACCGTAGGGCCATGATGGGTGTACTGCCGTGTAATTTGCAAAGGATGTTTAAAACTTATGAAGAGGGTTATGAATTGAGAGGCGTTAAAAACTTCATTTTTCCATTATACCGAACAACTATGAAAAGTATGTGTGTATCTGTATGTGGTATCAAACTGTGGAACAAACTTGATGTGACTTTAAAATTATGTAAAAACATTAGATCATTTAAAATGTTGTATAAACAACTTATAATTGACTCGTACATAAATAGCAAGTGATAAAAATGGTAAATGGCTTCAAATGGAATATTTTGTTTTTGTTGTTTATTGGTTTTGTTTTCTTTTTCTGTAGATTCATGTGAACAATTGTTTTGTAACTGTCTTTTTATGTAGCAACTAGCAAGGTGAAGATAGAACGACCTGCATAAAGAAAAGTTTTTTCTTTCAAATTTGTTAATGTGAGCAAATGTGATTTATTAACTGAATTGGGGCTGGACTAGATAAGCTTTTGCTTCTTCCAGTTCCCTCTCAAATGGTTTTATGTTATTGTATGTTTTGTATTGTTTCATTCAACAGCATATTCCTCATTTTAAAAAAAAATTTTTTTTGTATGCACCAGGAATATGGAGGAGTGC